TAGGATTTTGACTATGAGTGTACTGACTCCATAGATCAATTTAGGGAGAAATTACATCATAAGAATTTTGAGTTATCCAATCAATGAAATTAAGATATTTTATCTTGTTTTAAGATAAAATATAAAGATTTAATATTTAAGATAAAATATTAAGATATTTTATTTGTTTAGGTCTTTTAAATTTTTCCTTCAGAAATATTTTGTCAATTATGGTGTAGATTTATAATTTATTTTTATATATTTTACTTACATGTTGGAATTTTACTAAATTAGCACATTAGTTATAAGAAGCTTTTTGTAGATTTCTTCAGAATTATCTGTATACATGATTCTGTCATTTGTAAATAATGATAACTTCAGCACAGGAAGAGGGGTTACTTCCTCATTACTGCCAGGAGGAAGCAGAAGTCAAGGTTTCCTACTTGGCCTCGATGGATCCATAGTGGGGAGGGGGTGTTTCCTGGTTATTGATGGGTGGAGGTAGAATTTTGAGATCACCAGATGGTCTCACTGATACCATGACACTAATGACACCTAATTATGGCTAGACAATGACTTTCCACTGACTTTCAAGTAGGCCTGCTCTTGAAAGTGGAGGGAGAGTGAGATGGGAGAGGAACATTTCATTATTGCTGGATACGGGTGGAAGTCTAGGCTCCCCACATGGTGTCCACTGACACTGAGGTGGGAGGTGGGGGCTACTACCAGGCAGTAAGGATGACTGTCCCACCTCCATAATTGGCCTTCTCTAATAGGTGGAGATGTTAAGGCACTTCATTACAGCTTCACAAAAGGAGAAGTCTAGGCTCCCCATTCACCTCTTGATGCCATGGGCAGAGAGGGATTCACAGTTTTTTCTGTCATGTTTGGCTAGAATAGAGCAGTTATCATCTAAGAAGTTTTCTATCTTGCTGTCTGCCTCTTTCCCAGTCCCAGTCCTTTGCTAGAGAGTTCAGGCTTTTAGGGGGTTTATTGTCTACTCATGTTGACATTTATGGGTTGTTGGCTTCTTCAGGTTGAAGTCTGGGATATAGGAAGCAAAAATAAAATCCCAGGTACTAACTCTCCACCATAACTTTTCTTGGGTACAGAGGACTCTAATTGATCTGGTTTCTCTACCTTTCAGAGTCTTCTTATGACTGTTTTATAAATAATGTCCAGTGTTTCAAGTTGTATTTAGTTATGAGGAACAGAAAAAAGCAAGTCTACACTATCTCCCCAGAAGTGGAATTCTTCAAATACTCAGTATTTCTCTAATACTCTTGAATATGCTGTTCTTGAATATGTTCATCTGACCTATCTTCCAGTTCACTGATGTATCCTTGGCCATTTTCATTCTACTGATGAGTCATGTAACACATTGCTCATCGTTACTGTGCTTTTATTTCTAGCATTCCTTTAAATTCTTATAGCTTCTATCTCTCTGCTGGAATAAGCCATTTGATCTTGTGTGTTGTCTACCTTCCCATAAATTTTAACATATTAATCAAAGTTATTTTAAATTCCTTAATAGTTCCAAATTCTATATCATATCTGAGTCTGATTCTAATGATTGTTTTGTCTTTTCAGATTGTTTCTCCTTGCCTTTTTATATGCCTCATAATTTCTGTTGCAAGAGACACATGATATAATATAGTAGATATAGAAATAAACTTTCTATGTTTAGAGATAAACATGCCTTTCCTATGGTTATGTTTAAGCCTACCAGAATACTATTTATGTCTCTATGTTTGATCTGTTATTGTTCCTTTTTTCTTTACTTCTTTCAGACTATTTTTTAATATTAAAGTCTTTGTCTGCTAATTACAATATCTAGCTTATCTAACCATGTATTATATTGACTTTTTTTTTCTTTTGATGTTGGGTAACATTCTCCTGCTTCTTTGTATGTTATATGATTTTGGATTTTATGCCAGATATTATGATTTAAAAAACAGTGGACACTAAAGTATAATTTTTGTTTTTTTTCTTTTCTTTTCTTAAAGATGCTAGCCCCTTCCTCTAACATACAGCTACAGTGAGGAACTGATCATTCAAATTCCAGGAGAGTTTAGTTGAGCTAAATCTGAACCTCAGCTTTAATTAAATTGAGCTTATCTCTGCTTTCAAATGGGATCAAGGATATCTCCTTTTATCCTTCTGTCTAATTCCCCCACCTACTGCACCACTGCTGATATTTTATCAGGCTTTGAACTAAGACAGCCATGGGCTGAAGTTTCAGAGAATTTCGGTTTATCCTGGGATTCCATCAGTTTCCCACAGTACAAGAACTATAAGACTGCACGGACTCTCTGCTTTCTAGCTGGGACTTCCCCTGCTGCTATTCATGAAAAACTCCAAGATCAGGGGAGAGAAAACTCATAAACTGAAACATTCCTTTTTTTATTTGGGGCTCTTCAGATTCTAATATATCTCACCATTCCACACTGTTGTTAAATGTGCAGATGCTCTCCCCTTATCTCTACAAACTGTCTCCATCTATGACTGGCCCACTTGCTCCCAGGTATAGAAGACACAGCAGCTCTTTGCTCACTGATGAAGGGTTTGTCCCCTTTGCAATTAAGTTTAACACAGCTTCCCTGCATCCAAAATTCTTAAACAGCACCACAGAGCATGAGTTTCATTTATTCAGGGTTTTTTTTTCCCTTATTGCTACCACATCCTTCTATATCCTAACACCAAAAACATTAACTACTAATTGATTTCCAATGTATTTCACAAAAGTGCTATTCTGTGACAGCTTAAAAATTTAATAAAAAACAAACAACAACAACAACAACAAAATCGTTCAGACCTTCACTAGAGAAGTACTGCCTTAAAGAACATTTAGTTTTTATTGGGGCAAGACTAGCCTCCAAGCATAGGTTCCTCATGTAGCTATCCATGGAATCCTAGACTATGCCCCAATATTCTTCTGAAGAGAAGTATTGATGACATTAATTCAAGATTATTTGTTTCTCAAAAAGCCCCTGTGACTAGAGAGCAACAAGAATGTTTACAGTGATGGCATGGGGTATACTATCTATCTACCTATCTTGATACACACACACACACACACATATAAATTAAATGTGTTTTGTATTGTTTTTGATAACATGCTGGGGAAAGTTCAGTGCACAGACTCCGGACACAGAGTGCATTTGTTTAAGTCTCAGCTCCAGTGCTTATGAGTTATTTAACCCTTAGCACAGTGCATTAATCTCTGAGCTGGTACTTTACCTAAAAAATTAACATAATTAAACCTATCTTATAGTAATTGGTAATCAGAGTAAGCACTCAAAAATTTTAGCTCTTATTATCAGAGAAGGAAAGAACTTAAGGCTAAAATAGATACTATTGATATAATAATGCCTTTCTATTTAGGACTACTGTGTAAAGCAAGGTTATATTAAAGATAAGAATTTATGATGACAAGTAGGTAATTAAACAGTAAAAATAGGGCTTGGGTGCTCTAATCAATTAATTTATTAAATTACTTTCTTTTATACTGCATTATATACATATTTAAGTGTCTGTATATACACACGCATTTTTAGTTTCAGGTACAGAGGACAGCGTTTATTGTACTCCTTTGTTCATGACTCAGATTCCTGCCACTTAATCCATTTTATTGATTTATTCTTTTACATTCCTATTTCCCTTGCCCCTCCTCTCCTTCCTATCAGCAATCATTCTGTGCTTGATGAGTGTCTTTACGTTTTTATGTGTTATTCCAAAATGGGTACTGGTATTTTGTTTGCATATATTTTCATTCAGGTAAGTGAAATTGTGTTATACACTTTATTCTTCTAGTTTTGTTTTCATGATGCTGCTATGCATATGTCTAATCCAGTATTTCAAATTAGTTGCCCTAACTAAGCAGTTGGATTGCCTCCAACTATTTGCCACTAAAAATGACACTGCCATTAACATTCTTATGCATGCATAAGAGGGTGTTTTTTCCCTAAGGGTTTCTACCCAGGAGCATATTCTTAATTTGGATTCCACTACCAGAGATTCTCCCTGGAACTGGAACCGTTAAGTGAGCTCAGGCTCCTTGGCTCCTGCAGTGCATTTGGGTTTCTGCATATGTCTCTGGCAAATCTTAGCCTTGTTCAGTTTTCTAAGTTTGTCACTAGACTAACACAAGGGAATATCTCAGACTAAGTTCATAAGGTAGTATCATTATTTGGAAAAAGCATAAGATTCCATTTCAAATTTTATGACTGAAAAAATAATGTTCAAAATATTCTTTAAAGAAAACAACATGCAGCAACACAATCTGACCACCTTAACGCAGAAAGTATTTTCACATTTGGTTATCTGTCCCAGTTTTACGCTAACAAATATGCAGTTTACATAGCTATACTTTGACAATATGGTCCCAAATTTTGCTTTTACAAAAGATTTCATGATGGTTATTTCAATGACCACAATCTTCAGTCCAATTATATTTTATACTTTTATTATTCATCTACCATATTTAAAATTAGGTTATTTCAAATTTTTAAGAACTATGCTAAATTGGTCATTGCTTGTTTCTCTTGTTGAATAATTTTCCAAAGGTAAATTTGCAAAATTGTTGGTAAAAGTAAAGCCTCACACTATATACTTTTAGATGGTAAGTTTGCATTAGAAATTTAAAATTTCTATAGTTACATTAAAAATTATTCATCAATCCAACAGAATAATATACAGTTATAATTAATCCAGGCCTGTGTCAGTACCTGGAAACTTGTACATTAAGTCATTAAAGTCAAAATTTCACAAGTAAATCTACGTGAAAATATAAGAACATAGTATGGTAATGATTGGAAAAGGTAAAAGATAATAAAAATACATTGTTCAGATGTATAGGATTTTTTTTGTATGGGGTCTGGTACACACTAAAAACCACTAACACAGTAAGTTAAAAATAAGCAGCTTCGATTAAAAGGTTGAGAAAATATAAGTATAAATATGTGATGGCTGTTACTATACAACTGGGATATTAAAATAAATATGATCAAAGATCTGCTCACCAGGAACTCCCCCATGTGGGTTGTAGTTTCTGGGTCCCACCCAAGGCGTAGGTGGAAAGAGATAACCTGTGAACCAGTCTCCTCTGTGATCATAGTCCTGGTTCTTTGTTTCCTTAAGATAATTACTAAAACGCAGGTAATAGTGTACCTAGAAGGAGCAATAAGGAACAAACACTATCAACCAAAATAAACAAACAAAACAAATCAACAAGTAAGAATCGGAAACAAAGGGAGCTAAAGTACAGCTGGGAATATGTGACTTTGCGGCAGACCAAGGAGTGCCAGGGTAGACCCTGAACCTCAGGAAGTGACAGCAAACGTGTCATGACACGCATCACATGCTGTGACCACATCTAAGCTTAAGCTTGCTTCCTTTACATCTGTTCTCTCTCTTAATTTTGTAAAATTTTTTATTGAAGTGTCAGTAACACTTGGATGTATACTGTGGGTCTGTGGTAAGCAAATACAGTGGTAACTTGCACATCATTGTGAATGTTTCCCTAGACAGCTGGCTGCATACTAAAATGAAATACACCAAAAGGTGTTAATGTCTCTTCCCTTTATGTCAGCCAAGTGTAGTGTTCTGGGAGGAAAATCTCTTCCTCTCCTAAAAGTGATTATAACATAAGGAAGCATCCTATATGAGAACAGAGGAGGGATGCAATAAGATGCAAATGTGGAATGTTGCATATTATAATTATTAAATGGAAAGATAATACTGATTTTGGAGAACGTAACTGATTTTGGAGAATGTAAATTTCAAGGTATGTCATATTGGGCTAAGTAACTTTATGAGACAACAAATGGACCAAGAGTTGTCAAAAAAGTCAGAAGTGTCAGACCAGAGACATCAGTAAGAGCAGGAGGGGCAGGCAGGTGCCGTAGGTCAAGGTGAACAGTCATAGATAGTTACATACTCAAGGTGCCAGGCCATTCCCTATGTCTCAAGGACCTCAAACTCTGAGAAAACATATATATATTTATATCCTCATATAATATAGATTCAGTGATAGAGATGTGGTTAGGGTATACCTGGGAGAATGAAAGAGGAAAAGAGTGTGTGTGGTCAGAAGAGACAATGTCGACAGAGCCACAACAGCAATAATAAAGGGGAAGTGAGAGCAGGCCAAGTGAGGGGGGCAGCACGAAGGACACTAACCATGGCAGAAGAGGTGAAGTTTGAAATTGCACCTAAAACATTTGGCCATGATCAATACACACTGTTGAGCCTAGACCAACATCAGCCTACATTACACTGAGTCAACCTGAGGGAAGTTGGCATCTCTGGAGATGAGAGGGACTGATGGGATGGAAAGGATCCCTTTAACCCTAGTTACAACCTGGTGGTCCTTCCTTAATTTGTTGTTCCATTGACAACCATCTGTACCTTAAGCATAGAATTTTTGGCTCTGTGCATATCCGTATCTTATGTTTTGATTACTTCCCTATACACCAGAGATACCAAGTGCAAAGCCCTGTCCTTTCTTGTCTCTCTTTTGGGGGGCTGCTAATCACAATCTTCCTCAGTGTCTGCAGATGTCCTAATTTTGATTCAGGCTGGCTAAATCTTGGAGTTATTTTCTATATGTATGATTGGAAGAGAAATCATGAGATTCACTCAAAAGAGGAAAATTTTTGTGTTGTGTTCCCTACTAGAGAAGACGTGACTGCTTTATGACATCAGGTGTCTTGGCCTAGGAAATGTGCATTTTCTGCAGGGCTACAGACAAGTGCCGTTTCAGGTACGATGGCAATGATAGTATCTGCAACTGCAAATGTTTCCTAGGATTCCAATTTATGCATAAGGCGGTGAATGCAATTCTTTCCTCATCAGTATAAAGCACTGGCTCCATAAATGCAGACAACTGAAGTTAGATCTGGATTCCAACCCCTGCTGTCCCATGTACAAGTAGTAAGATCTTGAGAAAGTTATAGTTGTCCCACTTATAAAATGTAATAACGATACCAATACTTCATTAAATCTCTTCAAATTGGAAGTACAATTATGAGCTTTGTACACAAAACTTCCTTACCTTAAGTGGCAGGGGATCATTGCTATTTTTGAAGTTGTGGTTAAAAACAATACCAGCCAGAACTATTTTAGAATTATTCTCATCCTTAACATAATCTTCAAAATCCCTTTCCGTGGAAAAGCCCACAACTGTAGAGACAGAAAAATCTAATGTGTGAGTTGGCCACAAAAAGGCAAAATATAGGATAGCCTTTCCTAATATATAAGATGGAAAGCAACTTTACATGGATAAAAAGCTATTAAAACATTAAATTTCTAAGTGCTGTTGCTGAAACACTGGCATTAACAAACTAATGGATACTTGGAATACATGAAATGTTTTAGGAGCTTTAAAAATTTTTATTACAAGTTTAAAATAATAATTGTTATAATAAATACATACTGAAGGGAGCTAAGGTATGAATGACACGTCAGTGTTTTGAAATTTCCAACTTTAAGGGAAATAAGAAAAAAATGGATCCATGAAATGTATTTAAAGTCCTATACCATGGGAATCTCTATTGTCAAAAATACTTAGAAACTGAGGGATAAAACCACCTTTATGGTTGCAATATATTTTAATATGTGAGGTGATCAGTTCATGAATTTGGCCTAAATTAGATTTAACCTAATAGAAATTTTAAAAGATTGTGGCATCATCCCTACCCTCCTAAGACAAAACATTTAGTTACATAAAATATCCATATGTGGTGTTGTATACATTAAAGATTGTCTTAGGAGTAAACATGTGTTCGACACAAACAGGATACCAAAGGCTTAAAGAGCCTGCAGGGGGAATGAAGTTTCATGCAGGTTTATTACTAGGATTTAAATGGCTTGATCGACACAACTCTTCTTCCAGCTAATCCCCAATCATCTGATTTTCAAAAGCTTCTATCAGAAGCCTTGTTGTCGCCACTGTTGATAGAGTAGTCTGTGAGAACACCAGCATCCTCACAAAAGGTGCCATATATCACGCTTCCCAAATGCCCATTCCCATGATACGCTTCCCTCCCGTCCTGGCCACACTTGTCATGGGGGATCTGAGGTGTCACTGTTTCTGAATCTCACAAAGACTATCAAACAGTCAGTTCCCTTAGCCACTTGGATCCATTCACTTTTTGCAAAAAAAAAAAAAGTCTATATAAAACAAAACACAACACTCAACTCCAAAGAATTAGCCTCGATCCTAGACAGTGTCTTTTCCGTACATATGGGATCATGATGGAAACCCTTTTTAGGTTTTTATCTTCTAAAACATCTACATTTAGGTGAATTGTGGTAGTTGGGCGCTTGCTTTACACTTGCATGAAAAGGAGTCATTCCTATAGTTGTCAAAAACAAAGTAACAACCTGGCCCTAGGGAAAAAGAGAAGGATGAGGTCATAGATTCTGGAACTGATCCTAATCCAGGTTTAGCCTGGGAGGTGACCCTGCATTCACAACAATTTATCTCCAAGACAGGTACAAGAAGCCCTCACTGAGCATCAATAGGTGCTTGGAAACTGTGATTTTAAGCAAAATGATGTATAACAAAACTAACTGCACCACAGGCTGATTGATATAAACAAGAGTAAGTTTCTTATGGCCTATTTCTGATCAAAAAAAATTACCAAACTTCTAAAGACCAAAACACTTCTATAATTAAATACTGAAATATATAATGTGAGCTATACATATATTGACGAAAGATTAATGAAAGAACAAGTAAAATAATTATTTACTCAATTATTCCAGTTCAGGATCAAGGGTGGTTGGAGCCTGGCCCTGTAGCTCAGGGAGCCAAGGCGGGAACCAGCCAAGACAGGATGGCATTGCGTAGCAGGGTGCACTCACACACTCCCACTCCCACTCAGACTGGGACGGTTTGGACATGCCAGTGCACCTAGCGTGCACATCTTTGGGATGTGGAGGAAATCGGTGGACCTGGAGAAAACCCACACAGACATTGGGAGAATGTGCAAAGTCCACACGGAGAATGGCAGTGGCTGGGAATCAGTTTCTTTTTTTCTCATCAACATTATGAGGAAACAATGTCGAATAAAATGACATTAATCAAGGACCTGCTGTGTTTGAGGCAGCCACCAGAAGAAAGTAACCAGCCTCCCCTCCTTCCTGCTTTTTATACCCAAACTTCAAAACTGACCTCTAGTCAGCAACATAACCATTCCCAAAGCTTGATAAAATGTCGACAAGAGTAACAGCTTTCATCATTAGATGAATCAGACACGTGCCAGCTTCATATATGCCTCTGTGTGACTAGCTTATACTCGGCTGCCAATGTTCTGAGTGCTGACAGTATACACATTGTGTTTTCTGTCTTATATACAGTTGTCTCCTCATTTATGTTCTATAAAGTCATAAAAAACACTGAGTCAGAGAATATCGAACAATTTGCTCCTAGGGGAAAAACCAAATTAGGTTCCTGCAAGACCCTGGTCACAACATTTTCATACCAACCAACACATAAAGTGGTTTTGTGTATGCTTAAGGACACCTTATTTAATATATATTGTTAATTTGTTAACCCTGAACTCATGCCTGAATGAAGCTTCTCTAACACAGGTATTTTCTCCGTAAGGCACAATCACAGCCTTTTTGTGCTAGGAACCCTAGACGGCACTTCGGCACTATGCCTGGAGGTCGTATTTAACAGTAAACTCACCAAAACAAACAAAAAGCAAACAACGTAACATGAACTATACCAAGACAAGGATATTTGTTTATAGTATGGGAGTTGAAACAGGTTGGACAGAGTATCACCTTGTTTGGCCTCAGCTGGGAACTGCCCCCAAGATGACTCAATATTTTTTGCCACTCAAGTTTTTTTGCTGTTCATAGTGCAGCAAGTACTGACTTAGGGTAACACGTACATTTTAGTGAGGTGAGTTCACAATTATAGAATCCACAAATAACAAGGAGCAACCTAGTTTCCCAAACTAGTTTAATCTGGTAACAGTGTAAAGCGTATTTGGATTCCTATCCAAACCTGAAAACATCGTTAGTGGCCATGCAATTATGCTGAAGGGGTTATAATCTTTGCTTTTAGTAAAGCTGGGAAGTGCCAGATATGTAGCACCTGACCCATCCCCCTTTCAGGGGTGGGGAGGGGGCGGCCTGAGCTGGGATATAAGTTTCAAAGCTGAAAGTAGATTCACAGGGGCTAGAATCAGGTATGTACCTATATCATCTGGGGAGGAGCAAAATGAGACAGAGCCTCAGAGGGCCAATTCAAATGGTCAAAACTGGGAAAACTAAGCCCACTGCTAATTTTTTTTTAAAAAGTAGGAACACAGATGGAAACAGAATATCAAAGTTTAAGAGCTAGATGCCAGAAATGGAATATCACATCACAGCTTAAGAGCTAGTTGGAAATAGAACAAAAAGGAAGCATCACAAGGAAGAAAACCAGAATGCTCTTGGGTTCTAATAAAGCTGAAATATTTGCAGTTTTCCTTCATGACTAGTCAGCTGCACAGACTAGGCTGACTTCAAAGGACAGGATCCAGGTGAGAAGACGAGACAGGAGTGAAAGACAGGGTTGATTTTCTCAGACCAAGTAGTTGAAGGCAGAAAGTTTAGTTATGCCCATTGCCTTGAGTTATTCCAAGAAGTAGTAATCTAAATTTTTCAAATGGACAGGTTTACTGATGTGAAAGACGTGAACTCCTGCTTAAAAGGTTTCCTCTGATTTTTATTTCCTGTTTTGTATCATTCTTTGGAAAACAGAAGGCATATTGGAGGTGTTGCAAGATGCTACAGCTCTTCCGAATATTCTCTGGTAGGCTGGGCTTATGGTGAGACTCCACAGAGGGGCAGGACAGCAGAGCAGGAGGCTGTGGTTACTACGATAATAATGATAAAGCCAACATTTACTCAGTACTTATTATGTGCTCAACACTGCTCCAAATGCTTCCCACATCATAATTCATTTAATCTTCACAACTACGCTATGCACTAAACACTACTATTATTTTCATTTTACAAGTGAGGGAGTATGTTCTTCATTCTGGTTTGTCTTAGAGATACAGCTGTAGAGAGATATCCACTGTGAAGCTGGTAGCACACTGGTTGTATGACATGTAGCCACAGAGGTCTTCAACCAAGAGCCATTTCATACTCTAGTTACTTGACGTCTAAAAATCAGTCTTCTCCTAACTTCATTCCTGTTCCAGTTTAGTTTCCAGTGTCTATCACTTTAATAACTCTTTACATTCTTCAATTTGTTTGCTTCTTCCACCTTCCATCCTAGTGACTTGGTGAAAAACTAAACAAAAAAAGCCTAGAAGTATATAACTTCCAACCTTTTTCATACCAACAAGAAGAGCACTAAACACACACACACACACACACACACACACACACACACACACAAACTAAAAAACATTTCTCTGAAGCCTAGATGGGATACAGTTGTTCTTCTAATCCTTGCCATGCATAAGAAAGCAAATGCATCAGCCTGGGATGATGGGGTAGAACTGAAACCCAGCACACCTGAGCAGCTTCTCCCCTTACCCCTCCAGTAGTTATGTTAGTTCTGCTTCTTTTGGTATAGGAGGTTCTATTTGCTTTTATCCTTTCATCATGCCTGATCTCCCCAGATGTCTAAAAGGTTTTCCCTGGGTATTCGTCTTTGAATATCAGCTGCCTTGGCTAACAATGTCTACCTGGAAAGAGGGGCAAAAGCCTAGCTTCTGGTCTTCCAAGTGAGCACAGGCAGGTACACAGTAGCAGGCAGGTTAAAATGCTGAGCAGAGATTTCAGCAGCAGGGCAGTGCTAGGGAGCCAGAGAATGGAGTTCAAGCCCCACAGAGGTTAAGGGGCATTCTGAAACACTCCAGATCTTCAGCTAGTCATACGAGGGTCATGCCCTAGGAGTAAGGACCATGCACTAGGACATGTGTTATGCCCCAGGAATAGAGTGAAAAACTGAAATATAGCATTCCTTAACAAGGCTGAAACTAGCCTTCAACAGGAACAAGGTCATCTACCAGTACTCTAATAAACACCCAGAAGAACACTTAACCCTCTTTGGATAAAGATATATATCCTCAAGAGCCTTTAAAATTTTTCATCTGCAGTATCTTGCATTTAATAAAAATATACATAGTATGTTATGAAACAGGACTCAATGACCTAAAAAAGATGTGCAAATAATCCAGATACCAGAATTTTCCGGCAGAGACTTTAATATGGTTAATACATAAAAAATGGAACATTAGGCCAGAGACCTGGAATCTATTAAAAACATAGATAAATGGAAATTCCAGAACTGAGAAATATTGTTTTTAAAATAATTCAACAGATCACATGACATAATAATTATAAAATATATAAGCAAAAAGAAAAAAGCAGCCAAATCCAAATTGGAAACTTTAGTATCTTAAATATATATTTTAAAAAATATATCTAAAAATTTTAATGTATACAGTATATAACCTATTTAATCCTAATACCTAATTGGAAATTTAACACTTCTCTCAATAACTGATATAATAAGCATAGAAAGAAACAAAAAATACAGAAGATTTGAAAAGCATGACAATTAGCCAACTTGGCCTAAGTGGCATTTATAGGACACTACAAGTAAAACTTAACAGAATACATAGTCTTTACAAATGTATGTGGAACAGTCATCAAAATATACCATATACTAGTCATAAACAATCTCAAAATTTCAAAGAACTGATGTCATAGAGTATACTCTCTGATTAAAGGAAATTAAAATAGAAATCAACAACAGAAAAATAACAAGAAACTCCCAAATATTTGGAAGTAAAGCAACACATTTCTAAAAATTCTAAAATTCCTTGCATCAAAGAAGAAATCAGAATGAAAATTAGAAAACATTTTGAGTAACCCAAGTAGCTCATAATTGACCCTAAATTTGTTGGGATATTTGTGCTGCATATTTTAAAGATTATGGGGAATTTTGCATTCTTCTGCTCAAGCGTTTACTGGAGACCATTCTTCTAAGTGAAGTATCACAAAAATGGAAAAACAAACACTATATGTACTCAAAACTAAATTGGAACTAATCAGTCAATACTTATATACACATATGGAAGTAAAACTCAACAGAAATCAAGTAGGTGGGAGGGGGGAGGAGGGGATGGGCAGATTCACACCCAATGGGTACAATGTACACTATACTATCTGGGTGAAGGGCACACTTAGAAGTTTGACTCAAACTGTACAAAAGCAAATTATGTAACCAAAGTGTGTACCCCCATAGTATTCTAAAATTAAAAAAAAAAGAAATATTTTGAGACGGCATCTACTCTCAAGGACTCTCAAATCCCTTCAAAGGGAAAAAAGACTGAAAAAATACATGACTGAGTAACTGTGTGTGTGTGTGTGTGTGTGTGTGTGTGTGTGTGTGTGTGTGTAAAGGAAAGAAGACACTAAGGAGATGCCCACCCAACTTCTGATAGTGTTTACCTCTAGGAGAAAGAGGAAAGAAATTGATCTGAGAATGTGAAGATGAGAGAGGGTCTGGGAACTTTTAAAGTAATTCTACATAGCTTTGAGTCTTCTCTAAACCATTCATATATGACTTGTGCAACATTTTATATAAAACATGTTTTAAAGAGATGACCACTGAATGTGCATTCAGAATGAAGGCTCATGCTTATCCTGTCCCCTTGTACACCCATGGCACATGATCATACACCCCTGGAATTATACTTACCCAGGTTGAAGAGCACAACTAGATTCAAGGAAGACATAGTATCACAAAACTGGAAAATAACTTAGAATAATATAAATTGGTCATCTAATTTTTAAATATTACTATTTGTTCTAGGTTCTACTGAGAAAACATTTTATAAAAACTTAACTCTCAAATTTAACAAGGTCCATAATAGTATACTTAGGAAGTTAATGCCTGTTATGAGGTTATCCTACCATGTTTTACTTGGGAGGTAATAATAAGTTAATAAGGTTATAAGTATGTCTTCACTAAATTAATTTAAAAATACTGCATGTTTTTAAAGAAAACTTTAATTTCTAACCTTTCATATTGATGTTTAAAAAGTCTTTCACCAGTTCAACAATATTCCGTACCACAGTACTTTTGGACGGCACATAAGCCAATTGCCAAGGATAAGGAAAAATGAAAGGATTACTGATGTGCGTAGGCAAAGTACGCAAGGAGTAACCATGAAAGTTGTAAGGTCCAAACTTCTTTATAACAATATAGTGGCGTGTTGTCAAAAGCGTAGCAAAACATATAACGATTAGGATAATTTCCACAATTAAAGTAATCCATCGCCGCCTCTAGAAAAAGAAAAAAAAGATTATGTCAATTGTCCAAAGAGGTCATTAACTTTGCAAATGGCTAATTCTTTTATATTAACAGATACTTCATTAAAAGAATGTATAGATTGTCAAAAGGCATAGATTCACTCTGTAATAGCAGCAATTTGTTGGACTGTCTTTTTTCTCCTTCTTGTGTAATATTCTTCAATTATTTCATTCTGTGAGGACTCTATATTTGGAAAAGATAACCCCAGCCCTGGAACTAAGAAAAGTAAAACAGTATAAATTGAAATGCACTGATCAGACTGTTGGAGTTTTCCCCTCGTAACCTCTGAGCTGTTATAACAATCCTATAGTTTAACTTACCTTTAAAATAAAATTCTTCCAGATAAGAATCATAAATTTTCTGAACTCTAACATATCCATTCTTCTTGAAATTCAACCCTATGGAAGGAGTGAAGACTTTTTTAAAAAAGAAAATAAAATTAAGATTATATAACAACATGTAAATTTTAGACAATTACTTAAATTTAAATTACTTAATTTTCTAATCAAGTTTTAAAGATGACTATATAAGCATTTGAAATATTTGAGAAGTTGTTTATTCCTGCATTTTTAATTGACTCAACATCTATGGAGCTTCTAATATGAACAAAATACCAACCACAAAACAAAGACCAATAAGTTGTTGATGCAAGTTTTGCCAGTAGCTTTCCCAATTCCCATCAAAATACTAATTAAGAAACAACACAAAACAAATAAATAACTATGATCAGCAAAGCAACGAAAGAGTATGTAAAATCACATCACAACTATAAACCCAATCAGATTGGAAGTAACTGCCAATAGTAACATTGCTAAGGGGAACAGATTTGCAATGGACTAAAATGTTTATGTTCCCTTAAATTCTTATGTTGAATCCTAACACCCAAGGTGATGGCATTTAGAAGGAGGTACTTAGGGAAGTGATTAGAATGGGACTAGTGCCCTTATAAAGGAGGCCCCAGAGAGATCCCTTATCCTTTCCACCATGTGAGGACACAAAGAAAAGACAGGTCATCCATGAACAAGGAAAGGGGACACTGAATCTGGTGGCACCTTAATTTTGAACTTCTCAACCTCCAGAATTGAGAGCAATAAGTTTCTGTTATCTTGAAGCCAAACAGTTTATGGCCTTTTGTTACAGCAGCTCAAATAGAGTAAGACAAGATTTCTCTTGTATTCAATGAATATTTTCGGGACACCTACCATGTATCATGTTATTAGGTGAAGGTGTATAATGGGAAACTAAATAAATAAAACTCATACTCCATGGTGTGGGTAACACAGAGGTTATTATTAATAACCCAGGATCTGAAGTCAGACTGCCTAGGTTGAAATCCAAACTCTACCACTAACTGTTTGACCTTGAATGCTTGGATTAAATTCTTGGAGCTATGAGGACAGAGCTGGAATTCAGAGCAAGGAATGAGAGGCATTAGATTAGGACATGACTTTCTAAGAATGAACCTGAAGGAACTTGACCTTCATAGGGATTGTAGCCTGGCTTCAAATATTCTCAAGCCTTGACACAAGATGAAAGTGCTCCCAGACTGCAAGTACCTACCAGTACCCAGCATAAAAATGAGACCCTCTTTGGAGAAAAATAACAAAATGCTGGAGTCAACTATTTCTAAAAGCAAATTTGCTGAATACAATATAACATAAACATAAAAGTGACTTCGAAGATTTCTATTACTACTACAGAATATCTTTGTGACCTTGGGATAGGCAGAGATTTCTTAAGGTAGACACTAAGGGTATAAACCATAAAAAAGGCTTTGCCAAAATCTAAAATTTCTGCCCACCAAAAACTAACATCAAGAAAATAAGTAGGGGACTGAGCCTCTAGGCTCACCTCAGCATCCTGCCAGATCCCAAAGCTCCAGGTTCTAGGCCTGCCTAGCAGACTCGGCTGCCAGTCAAGCTCCTGTTGTGGGGGTGGGAGGCTTCAGGTCCACTCCAGCGCCATGCCAGCCCCCACAGTACCCAGGATCCAGGGCCACACAAGTGTCAGGCCAGTCCCAGAGGCCCTGGCCTCCAGACCGCCCCCAGCACCAGGATGGCACCCCTGAGGTGCCAGGCAGGCAGCCACAGACACAGGCTCCAGGCTTGCCCAGTGCCCGGCCCTGTGTACCCAAGTCACACGCTGCAGGCTCAGAATCCAGGCCCTCACGGACCTAACCTCTAGACCCGCACCTATCACCCAGGCTCCAGGCCGGCACCAGCAAATACAGCCTACAGGTAAGCCCCAGTGGATCTAGACACCAGGCCAATGCCTAGTTCCAGAAACCTCCAAATATAACAATATTCATGGATGCTCAAGTTCCTTATATAAAATGGTATGGTATTTGCACATAATGTACACATATCCTCCTGGATACTTTAAATTATCTCTAGATTACTTATATCTAAAACAAAGTAAATGCTATATGAATAGATGTTATACTATATTGTTTTTATTTGTTTTTTTTTTTAATTGTTGTATGGTGATTTTTTTATTGATTTTTTTCTGAATATTTTAGACCTGCAGTTTGTTTAATCCGTGCATGTGGAACCTATGGATACAGATGGCTGACTGTACACATTCTTTTCAAGCACGCATGAAACATTCCCCAAGAGAGTTCATATATTAGACCACAAATCTTAATAAATTTAAAAAGACTGAAATTCATATCAAGTACCATTCCCAACCACCATGGTATCACACTAGTAATCAATAACAGGAGGAATTTCAGAAAATGCACAGAGTACATGGAAATGAAGCAACATGCTCCCAAAACACCAATGGGTCAATGTAAACATTAAAAGGGTAATTAAAAAATATCTTGAGACAAATGAAAATGGAAACACAACACACCGAAACATACGAGATGCAGCAAAAGAGGTTCGAAGTGGGAAATGTATAGAAATAAACACCTATGTCAAAAAACAAGAAGATAGGTCTCAAATAGCCCAACGTTATACCTCAAGGAACTATAAAAATAAGAACTAAAAACAAAAGTAGCAGAAGGAAGGATAAAATAAAGATCAGAGCAGAAATAAATGAAATAGAGACCAGAGAAACAATATTAAAAAATCAGTGAAACTTGTTGAAAAGATAAAAATCAACAAATCTTTAGTTAGAGTAACTAACTAGTAAACAAAAGAGAAGACAATAAATAAAATCAGAACTGACAAAGGCGGCATTATAACTGATACCACAGAAATACAAAGGATCATAAGAGACTACAATGAACAATTATATGACAACAAATTTGAAGAAGAAACAATTTCCTAGATGCATACAACCTACTGAATCACAAAGATATAGAAAATCTGAACAGATCAATAACAAAAATGACTTACTCAGTTATAAAAAAGTCTCCCTATTAAAGAAAAGCCCAGGACCAGATGGCTTCACAGCTGAATTCTACAAAACATTTAAACAAGAAACAATACCAATCCTTTCCTAACTCTTCCAAAAAATTGAGGAAGAAATACTTCCAAACACATTTATGAGGCCAACACTACCCTAATGCCAAAGCCAGAGAAGCAGACTACAAGAAAGGAAAATTGCAGGCCAATATCCCTTATGAACATAGATGGAAATATCCTCAACAAAATACTAACAAATGGAATTCAACACATTTGGTTGTGCATAATGCACATTAAAAAGATCATTCACCATTATCAAGTAGAATTTACCCCTGGGATCCAACGATGGCTCAACATATGCAAATAATAAATGTTATACACCACATTAACAGAATGAAAAAAAACATATGATTATCTTAGCAGATACGGAAGCAGCATTTGATAAAGTTCAAAATCCTTTCATGACAAAAACTCTCAAAAAATTAGGCTTAGAAGGAATATACCCCAACACAATAAAAGCCATATATGAAAAGCCTATGGCTAACATCATATTCACTAGGTACAAACTAAAAGCTTTTCCTCTAAGATCAGGATGTCCTCCTTTTACCCCTTCTATTCAGTATAGTACTCAAAGTCCTAACCAGAGCCATTAGGCAAAAGAAAGAAATAAAAGACATCTAAATTGGAAAGGAAGAAGTTAAATTGTCCCTGTATGCAGACAATATGCCATTATATCTAGAAACCCCTAACATATCCATGAAAAAATTATTTAGAACTAATAAACAAATTTAATATAGTTGCATGATATAAAATCATGTCATATAACATATAAAATCAACATATAAAATGAACAGTTTCTATACATTAACAATGAACTATGGGAAAAGAAATAAAGAAGACAATTTTATTTATGATAGTTACAAAAAGTACTTACAAATAAATTAACCAAGTAGTGAAAGATCTGTACACTGAAAACTATAAAACACTGGTGAAAGAAATTAAAGAATGCAAAAAGAAAAGGAAAAGATATTCCATGCATTGAAAGAATATTGTTAAGATATCCATACACCCAATGCAATCTACAAATTCAATGCACCCCTATCAAAATCCCAATGACATTTTTCGTAGAAATAGAATAAAAATCCTAAAATTTGTATGGAACCACAAAGACCCTAAATAGCCAAAGCAAATTTGAGGAAAATGAACAAGGCTGGAGGCATCACACTTTCTGACTTCAAAATATACTACAAATCTAGAGTAATCAAAATAGCATGGTACTTGCATAAAAACAGACACATAGCCCAATGGAAAAGAATAGACAGACCAGGAATAAAACCACACATTTACTACCATCAATTGATTTTTGACAAAGGTGCCAAGAACACGCAATGGGGGAAAGAACAGTCTCTTCAATAAACAGTGTTGGGAAATCTGGATATGAACATGCAGAAGAGTGAAATTAGATGCTTAACTCACACCATATACAAAATCAACTCAAAATGGATTAAAGACTTAAATGTAAGACCTGAAACTTTAAAACTACTAGAAATAAACATAGGGGAAAGACTGTATAACTTTGGTCTGAGTGATAATTTTGGGCTGTGTCCCTAAAAGCACAGGCAACAAAGGCAAAAATAGAAAATGGGGATTGCATCCAAATTGGGATTACAAAAAGCTTCTGAACAGCAAAAGAAATAAATAACAGAGTAAAGAGATAGCCTATGGAATGGGAGAAGATATTTATAAACCATACATATAGGAGGTTAATCCCTAAAATATATATAAGGAATTCCTACAACTCAACGGTAGTAAAACAAATAACCCAATTAAAAAATGGGCAAAGGGATTGAACAGATGTTTCTTTAAACATACGAATGGCCAACAGATATATGAAAAGATGCTCAATTTCACAAGTCAGGGAAATTCGCATTAAGAAACATGAGATATTACCTCACACCTGTTACGATGGCTATTATCAAAAACAAACAAACAGATAACTAGTATTACCCAGGTCTGCAGAAACTGGAACCCTGTCCGCTGTTGGTGGAAATGCAAAAAGGTGTTGCTGCTATGGAAAATCGTATGAAAGCTCCTCAAAATATTAAAATTAGAACTACCATATGATCAAACAATCCCATTTCTGTGTATTCAGGACTCTGACAAAATGTAACTTCTTTTCCTGGTTAAAACGCTAAAAATCTAATAGGAATTAATTAATATGCCATAACAATAAAATGTATATGCCTTATTTTAGGATGAAATAATGATGGCCAGTATATCCATTACACTGTATTGGAGGTATTAGCCAATGGAATTAGATAAGAGAAAAGAAAGGTAAAATTATCTGTTCACAGATATAAATGCTTAGTCCAAGAGAACCAATGTTAAAACTAAAACAGACAACAAAAAAATTCAAGATAGCAGGACATAAAATTAATATAAATATATAAACAATAATCTGTTAGAAGATATAAAGGCAAGAAGATATGCCATTTATAATAGCAACAAAAAGAAAATATTTGGAATAGATTTAATCAGAAACATGCAAAATTTATATGAGGAAAACTTTAAAAGTCCTCTTATAAGATTTAGAAATAGATTTGAACAAATGGAAAAACTTTTCTTGTTCTTGAATATGATGACCTAACATGACAAAGACATCATTTTTCTCCCAAGTTAGCAAATGTTTAATATTATCCCAGTAAAAATAATGACATGTTTTCTTTTAATTCTAAAGTTTATGTGGAAAGATAAAAGAATAGCTAGGAAAACACTCAAAAATAAGATTAATGAGATGAGACTAGCTCTACCAAATATTAAAATAGTTAAAAATGTGTGGTACTAGTACATTGACAGACAAGTGGAAAAGAATAGAAAGGCAAGAAATAAACTAAAGGATATATAAAAATGTATTATATAACATAGGAAACATCCCAACTCACTTGGCAAAAGACATACTTTTTAATAAATGGTGTTGTAACAAATGGATAGTAATTTAGAAAAACATAAAATGTGGGAGTGAGATAAAATCAATTTGCAATTCACACAGCCTTCCAACTTTGCAATTATGCCATTCTTCAAGGATTTTTCACTGGAGTGTGTTTGGGGGTTGGTGATTCACATCAGGGCCTTACCCCTCACTGTAGTTGATAAAAGACACTCAATACATGTCTGCTAGCTTAATAATAAAGGAGTTTATACAGCAAAGTCTTAAAGATAAAACAAACATGGCAACAAAGTTCATAAAGCAAAACCACAGCAAAACAAAGATTCATACAGAAAGATGTTCCTCACAACACCAGAAGCAGTAAGATACAATGGAAACAGGTGGGGTGATTATTTATTCCTTCAATAAAATCCTATTCATTTGTTAAAAGAAGGGAATAGATACAGCTATACTGTCATGGGAGGATGACATATTGTTAAGGTGGAAAAGTAAATTGCAAAACATTAGACGTGATATAAACACATTTTTTGGGAAGATATATATGTATAGAGAAGAAAAATGGCAGAATGTACACCAATTTGCTGACAGTACCTCTCTCAGAAGGCAGAAAAATGGGGGGACTCACACATTCTACAATTGGTGTGTCTACAAGGTTTGAAATTTTATATAACGCACCTGTACTGTTTTTCTAACTGCTTCTTCAGATAGGGGAGGGATGACTGTGATGAATTGTCTGAAGCACCCTCCTGAGACAGAGAACTTTTTTCTCTTGCTCATGTGGCGGGTACTATTTTGAAATATTAATCCTAAGTTTTCAATTCAGTACCAGCCTGTGTACCATCTCTCATTCATCTTTTTTTTTTTTTTGTCTCGGGGAAGAGAGAGCGATAACCAAGCCTAAAAAGATAGTAGCTGGATCCTTCCATTTGCCCTTTCTAGGGTAAAACAACAAGTTTGAAAAAATGCACAATGAGGAAAAGCAAAGCTTCTCGGTGTCCTTTCATCCCACCCACTTCACTATTCCTAGGAGAGATTTTTTTTTTGGGGGGGGGCGGTCACATGGCAGAAGAGGTCTGACTCCAAAGGGACTCGGTGTACCTATTGTACCCTCAACATTCTGGCTCTAAATACTCCCTTGCCCCTACCCCAGTGACTTGGATGCAGCCCTCGCTGGGAGAAGGGAGGGCTGTTACGGGCATGGGCCTAAAGTGCCTGAAAATTTGTAGAGCAAGCTGCAGAAACTGTGGTCCCAAGGGAACAATTAAATACAGTTACTGAGAATCAAGCAATTGCATTGCGTACAGTCCTAAATTATTGGGATAGGACTTATACTGTTTAACTTCAGCTCCTTTTCTAAAAAGCACTGAACTGCTAAAATACAGGTTTAAGTTTTCTGCCCACCTTGTACAAGATGAGGTGGGCAAGGCAGCCTTAAAACTCCCCTCAGCTTGACTAAACTTTAGATAGGCTTCTTCGTGACTCTAGCCTCCACCTCCCTTAGGGTCTTTTCTTTAGAAAACTCAATTGTAACTTCTTTGTCTCTTTGAAATATACATAACTCTTTTCAAAAGCCTCTTACCAGGTTTACAAACCAGAAATGGCTTTCTCAAAGGCCTGGGAGCCCTCCCTTTGAAAAAGAGTCATCCAAATAACAGCGCCCCCTATCTTCGTGGGAGCGCAGAAGCCTAACTTCCGTGGGACCCACCAAACTCAGATGGCGTAAACATAGAAAAAAAAAATTTTTTTTTTTTTTTTTTTTGTAAACTCAGGAAATAACTTCCTGTGCTCCTTGGATCACCTCCCCAGCCTCCAAGATCCTCCAGGATTTCATCCCGGCCCTTAAAAACCCTCCTCCACTTTGTTTCAGAAGAGTTTAGTTCTCACTGAATTCTGGTCTCTTTCCCCTTGGCAAAAGCTTTGCATAAAGTATTCCTTGGCTGTTTAACTGTTTCTGCGCAATTTTTGCTTTGGCAGAGGAGAACTAAGGCAAATTGAACTACCAGTAGCACTTGAACTTCCACATACCCCCTCCCCATTCCACCATTAACTGAACATTTACTATGTTCCAGCAATTTAAATATCATAACCACCCTCTGCGATGGGTATACAAACAGTATCCTTTTATGAAGAAACCGAGGCTTAGCGAAATTAAGCAATTTGACATAGGTCTCCAGCAAATAAATTCTGGGCTAGTCAGGTCTAGAACCACGACCCTTGCCTCCAGAGCCATTGCGTTCAATCACTTTGCACAGCCACCATAAACTTCCTAAGAGTGTCTGTCTGTCTGATTTATTCCGATTAGTTGTGTGTGTGTTGGGGTTTGAGGAAGTGAGCCTCCAGTGCTCTGTCTGCGGGTTTGTCGCGGGCCGGGCGCGCTTTCGGGCGCTGCGCACTGACTGCGGGCCGCGGGGCGGCCTCCCGGGCCGTCGGGGAGCGGCGGGCAGGGCAGGGGGACCGGGGAAGGCGGAAAGGCCGGGACACTCACCGCCGAGTCCTAGAAACCGCCACCGTCTCCTCCGCTCAGGTGCCAGCGTCCAACCCCGCGCGGCGCCGCCTCCCAACGCCCCCAACCGCCGCGGCCTCGCGCGGACCCGGAGCCGGCGGCGCGCGGGAGACGAGCCCGAGGCGCCGGCTCGGTCCTTCCCCCGGCGCGTGCGCCCCAGCCCCGGGCACCAGCGTGTCGCACCCCGTCCCGCATCCCCAGCGCCCCCACCTGCTCGCAGGTTCACGCAGCACGCGCCACTTCTTAACCTCCTTCCCTTTCAACCTAACCGGACCCCTCGCCCGTGACGCCGACGGAGGGCGGGGCCCCACGCGCCAAGTGCCTGCGAGGGCGCCACCCCTGAAGGCGCTCCTCAGGTTTTTCGCCTGCGGGGGCTCTCCTCTCGATGGCCCTGAGGTGTCACGGTCGCCTCAGCGCGCCCAGACTTCCATCGCAGGAAGTTTGAGAAAAGTCACAGGCTTCCCCCCTCCAGGGTTTATTGGGGTTTAGCAGAGAACTTCCAGAGGCACAGGGTCTTACAAACCTCTCACGCGGAACATCCAAAGGCCCCCACCCTGGGCAGACCCAGCGCACCGTGCGCCGTCCTGGAGTCCCTTTTCCCAGTCTGCACGGCCCCCGCCCCCAGCCTCGCCCCTCGCGCGTGCGACACCCTAGCGACACCCCAGCAACTTCGTCTGCCCTCGCCCGCCCCTCCGTTGACTCCGCCTCCCTATATTTCTTAGGCTTCCCCCAATCCTATGATGCTTGCTCCTCTCGGCGGGCGGACGCCACTCGGATACTCAGGTCGAGTGTAGTTGAATGGTTAGAATCACAGGTTCTGGTGATTACATCAAGAGGGCAAGTTCACTGTCTCCTGCTATGCCAGGCTATGAATCGACTCTCAGCGCCAGAGCTGGAGTCTTGAACTGACAGGTGGTTAAGCTTTGCCAGGAGAGGGCGCTGGAGGAACACTGCAGGACAAGGGGCTTCTCTTTCTAGTCTTTTCCCGCCAATTAATTAATTTTTTAAAATTTCAGAATATTATAGGGGTACACACATTTTGTTTACATATAATGCTTTTGCCTCACCCAAGCCAGAGCTGCAAGCTTGCCCATCACCTATACACTGTGCTCCACACCCATTAGTGGTGAGCTTACCCACCCCCACCATCGGCCCAGCACCAGATGACTATACTTCATGTGAGCACCTAAGTGTTGATCAGTTAATACCAACTTGGTGGCGAGTACACGTGGTGCTTGTTTTTCCATTCTTGCCATACTTCACTTTGAAGGATGGGCTCTAGCTCCATCCAGGATAATATAAGGGGTTCTAGATCACCATTGTTTTTTTGTAGTTGAGCAGTAGTCCATGGTATACTTATACCACATTTTATTAATCCACTCATGTATTGATGGGCACTTAGGTTGTTTTCACATCTTTGCAACTGTGAATTGTGCTGCCATAAGCATTCCAGTGCAGATGTCTTTATGTAAAATGACTTTTTTTCCTTTGAGTAGATGCCTAGTCGTGGGATTGCTGGATCAAATGGTATTTCTATTTTTAGTTCGTTGAGATATGTCCAAATTACTTTCCACAGGGGTTGTACTAATTTGCAGTCCCACCAGCAATGTAAGAGTGTTCCTATCTCTCTGCATCCATGCCAACATTTGTCGTTTTGGGACTTTTCGATAAAAGCCATTCTCACTGGAGTTAGGTGATATCTCATTGTGGCTTTGATTTGCATTTTCCTGATCATTAGAGATGTGGAGCACTTTTTTTTATATGTTTGCTGACCATTATTCTGTCTGCTTTTGAAAAGTTTCTGTTCATGTCTTTTGCCCACTTTTTCATGGGGTTGTTTGATTTCTTCTTGCTGATTTGCTTGAGTTCTTTATAGATTATAGTTATCAGCCCTTTATCAGATGTGTAGCATGCAAATATTTTCTCCCATTCTGTAGGTTATTTGCTGTAATGATAGTTTCCTTGGCTGTGCAGAAGCTTTTCAACTCTCATTCTCTGATGATGATATGATATTATATCTAGAAAATCCCAAAGATTCAACCAGGAGACTCCTGGAATTGATAAATGAATTCAGTAAAGTCTCAGGATACAAAATCAATGCACAAAAATCAGTGGCATTCATATATGCCAATAACAGTCAAGCCAAAAATCAAAGACACAACACCTTTCACAATAGCATCAAAAAATTAAATATTTAGGAATATATTTAACTAAGGACACGAGACACCTATATAAGGAGAACTATGAAACACTGAGAAAAGAAATTGTAGAAGACATAAACAGATGGAAAACCCTACCACGCTCATAGATTGGCAGAATCAATATTGTTAAAATGTCCATACTACCTAAAATGATCTACAGAATTAATGCAATTCCTACCAAAATACCATCACCATGCTTTGCAGATCTAGAAAAAAATGATTCTGCAATTCATATGGAACCAGAGAAGACCTCATATAGGGAAAGCAATCCTAAGTAAATTGGGAGGGCATCAGTCTACAAGTCTAGAGTAACCAAAAAAGCATGATACTGACACAAAAACAGAGATATAAACCTTTGGAACAGGACTGAGAAGCCAGATATAAAACCATCCTCATATTGTCATCTGATCTTTGACAAAGCAGACAAAAAATATACACTGGTGAAAAGAATCTCTATTCAATAAACAGTGCGGGGAAAATTAGATAACAACATGCAGAAGATTGAAACTGGATCCACATCTCTCACAAAAATCAATTCACAATGGATAACAGACTTAAACCTAAGGCATGAAACCTTAAGAATTCTAGAAGAAAATGTTGGTAAAACTCTTATAGACAACAGCCTAGACAAAGAATTTATGAAGAAGATCCCCCAAAACAACCAGAGCGGCAACGAAAATAAACAAACAGGACCTGATCAAATTGAAAAGCTTCTCTTTTTAGTTAAGCTATTTTCTGTTGGATTGTTCTGGCTGTTACTTTTGGGGCTGCCAGCAGCAGATGTGGAGGACATTGGGTGCCCTAGTTGTCCACTTCTTAGTGCCAGCCTGCCAGCAACCCTACAGAAGGGTTTCCTGCTACCAGACCCGGGGACATCTCCCGGTGGGCCAGCTAGGCAGCTTAATCCCTAAGGAATATTTTCATTTGTTCAGCAGCTGTGCAAGGACTGGCCCAGGGCTGATGAACTTCCCTGTCGTCAAGGATGCTACAACTTCACTTTCTCCAAGAAGATCTGAATCCTAGCCATGGGAAAGGAACCCTTTTCCAAGTTTGTTTTGTCCTTGGGCATTTTCCCTAAACCATAGGGTAGAGTATTCTTTAGAGTTCTCTTTACCTCCTTACGGATAATCCCTTGTGATGGTTAATAATTATTTAAACTTTCTGTGTTCTTCTACAAAAAAGACACCTGCACTCGAATGTTTATAGCAGCACAATTCACAATTGCAAAGTTGTGGAAACAACCCAAGTGCCCATCAATACATGAGTGGATTAATAAAATGTGGTATATGTATACCATGGAGTACTATTCAGCTTTAAGAAACAACGGTGATATAGCACCTCTTGTATTTTCCTGGATAGAGCTGGAACCCATTGTACTAAGTGAAGTATCTCAAGAATGGAAAAACAAGCACCACATGTACTCACTAGCAAATTGGTATTAACGGATCAACACCTAATTGGATGTATAGGAATAACATTTATCGGGTGTTGGGCAGGTGGGGGGGGAGGAGGGGATGGGTATATACAAACATAATGAGTGATATGTGCAACGTTTGGGGGATGGTCACGCTTGAAGCTCTGACTTGAAGAGGGAGGGGGGCATGGGCAACATACGTAACCTTAATATCTGTACCCCCATAATATGCTGAAATAAAAAAAATAAACTTTTTGTGTTCAAATTGCTGTGTGTTTTCCTATTTCCTGATGAGGATATGTCTGCTAACTTGCTGATCTTACAGAATCAGACCTTAGCCAAATCTCTTAACCCCTCTGAGTTTGCCATGGACAATTTTCATTAAAATAATAGCAGCACCTACCTACCTCAGAGAGTTGAATTGTAGTGTGATTAAATGATGCACTATATGGAGAGAGGTTTGTAGAAGACCTGACTCATAATATTTTTTTGTTTCTTGCTGGAAGATGAAGAGGAAGGAGGAGGGATGAGGGATGAGGGATAATGAAGGGCTTAATAAAGCTTAATAAAATGAATTCCTTTTCCCTTTTTATAAATGGCCAACCTTGGAAACAAATTTTGTAATTACTGAAATCAGTTGCTGGAAATCTATGGCAAGTACGGGAATGGAATCCGCAGAAAGTTATACTGCAGCTAAAAGCAACAGAACAGAGAATAACTTCTACATATTGCTCTATTTATTACAATATCCAATTGGGGATATCAAAACCTTGAACAAGACACCCCAAAATAGAGGGGATTCATGGGCTTTTTTCATTCTGCAGTTCAATGAGTCTCATCCTATTTGTCTGTGCATCTGCCCATGAATCTGAATTTCTCATGTTGATTCTGGGGGACTCCATCTGCCCAGTCAAGAATTATAAGAGCTTTCTGTCTCCTCCCCTCTGCATTCATTTCTCCCAATTTCCTTCTTAATTAGTGGTGGGCCAAGAGTAGGAAATAAAACAATATTTTTAAAGAATGTTTTTGCTTTCTGTTCTTGGACTTTAAAAGATTCTCTTAGGTATTAATAGACTATTGGTTTGAGTTTTGAAAATAATTATCCAACTTACCCTTTAAACTTGGTTATTGATTTTAGACATTTTAGTATAAAATTGGTGTGTCTGTGTGTATGTGCATGTGCTTATGTGTGTATGTGTGTGTATATCTCTGTACGTGCATGTGCATGTATGCGTACCCATGGGAAAGGTGATTTGCTCTAGGCTTTCTACTCTTCTTATCCATAACTCAGCTACTAAAACATATAGCTCTTGTTCTTTGGGCTGTCCCATCTGACAGCACCATCATTTCTGGATGTTTCTGTTTAATCAGAATCCTCAGAAACAGGTCCTTGTCCCCACCCTGAATGCTGTTCGTTCATATCTTTAGAAAATAGGGATTTCACCAAATGTCTTTAGATTTGCACATGCTGAGTCTACATGCCAATCTAAATCTGAAAAGAAGGGGACAAACTTTCTCCTTTGGGGAAATCTTTATTGCATAAATATATTTGCACCAAGATACACACACACAGGAATGTCCCTCTATGCATCCAGTTGTAGTCTATGAAAGACCTAAGGTCACTGTTTGCAGCTGAATATCATGGCAGCTGTTTGTTACTATCTTCTGCTGTTTTATCTGGGTCAGCAAAGGTCAGGAAGACTTGGTCCAGTGTTACCTGACTGATGGAATAGTCTTCTACATCAAATTGCTCTTTAGCTTTCTCCAAAATGCCAAACACCTTTAACAACAACAAAAATGCAGTTACTATTGCAATCTCCCCTTCAGCCTCCAACCCAGATAGGCCTCTTCTCCACTCCCCCCAATCCCTGTCATGTTTATGTTGGAGGACAAAAGGCCAAAAGGCACAGAGATAAGAAAGTAAAAGAAACAGATAATTAAGAAACTGAGAGGAGGCACTTCTCTGTTCCCATTCTCTTGATGGACATGTACTGATAATGGGATTTAGGGGCAGAAATCAAGGCAATTAAACTCTAGGGGTGTCTGAAAAGTAACCTAAAGGAACTGCTTCTGTCACAGTGCCAGGTGTCCATTGGACATGCCCGAATCCCAAATACTCCCCATCGTTAGTACTCTCTTAACATGTAATGTTAGAAGGGCATGGCTTCTACCGTCACCTTTCCCCAGCCATTGTCCTTCTTGGGAACGGAGTAGTTAAGGATCCCTTGATTCTGTTGCTTTAAGACACTATCTAGGAGAGGAAAATGGGACAGGTGAACAATCTTACAGATTTCATTTGAAATTTCCAAAAGACTGCTATATCTACTTAATTATACACCATGGACGGGTGAATAGATGGGGTTAATACAAAAGAGGATGTGACCCAATGACCCACTCTCTTGGGTATGCATAACATGGTTAATGCTTTTATCAGATTTAATCCTCATGAAATAATCTTATTATGTGGAGTTCATAGCAATTATTGAGGGCAGGCTTTTAGGTAAAATAAAATGTCAGCTCATGTGCCCAATGTAAAAATCCTGTGCTTTCTAAAATTCCACTGTTACTAAAAGACTTTATTTCTAAACATAGTGCTGAGCATATGAACTGGGAGGGTTTTCCTCCTGGCTGTGTGTGTGCACGTGTAGCATGTTTGGTGGGCATAACAGGACAAGACTTCCTCGCTATTCTCATGGTTATGCGAATTCCATGTCATGTGAAAGAGGAAATCACATATAAGTCATTGAGTCTTACTCTCTTTCACAGATGAGTAAGAATCTACTCATGGAATGAAAGGAAAGAGGTTGGTATTTCCTAATTTAGAACAAATGTATGTATTTCCAGTTTTTATTGCATATTTTTAGATTATTGCAAATTAACTGAAATTAAAAATGTTTGAAAAATATGTTTGTAATGATCTGTTATTCTTCTTATTAGTCATAAGCATTATTATTATCTTCATGATCACAAAAATCTCTTTTATTATGAAGTATTTCAAACATAGAGGCTAATCATTTTTTTAAAGCAAACACATGAAACCACCCCATCCAGGTCAAGTAATAATAGCCCATACTTTCCCATGTGTCACTTCCTAACCTCTGTCCCCTATAAAAAGTAGCCAATGCCCTTGTTACTGTAAGAATTTCCTTTTTTATTATCTTTTTGTCTACATATGTACTCTTAAAATTATGATTTAGATTTTCCTATTTTTGAATTTTATATGACTAGAATCATCCAGTGTTTGTTCTTTTCTGTTTATTTTACTCAATATTATGTCTGCACGCTTCATTCATGTTGCTGCATATAGTTATAATTCATTGTTTTCCTTTTTTTTGCAGTAATCTGGTATGTGAATATTCCATAATTTATTTTCCAGTTGGCTACTAATAAACACATGAGTTGCTTCTAGTGTCTGACTATTATGAATATCACTGATTTAAATATTATTTTACTTATCTCTTGCCACAAGTAGATTCAACTATCTCAGGAATATATCTAGAAGTTTTGGATCATTGCTTTCTAAAAAATGGGTTATGCCAACTTCAGCTTCCCGTTGGAGAAAAAGAGGACTGGAAAGAGTGTCACTCCCAACCTTACAATAAGGAAAGGCTGGACAAACAGCAAATTAATCGCTTTTATTGAATCCATCAGTTCTCTGATTGGGCAAACACTAGACAAACAACTAACCCAATATCTGGGAAGAGACAGGCACCTGCAGGAAGACACAGGACAAGAGCTTTGCTTATACAAGGCAGACGCTTCTGGGTACCATGTAAGCTGGTCAGAAGACTTACTAAACTTTTTTTTAGCATATTGCTAAAGGCCAAGTATTGCACTAGCATAAAAGTGCAAAGAACCTCTTTGGTTCAGTTTGTTTTAGTAGTGTTTCTTACATACAGCACAGTGTTAGAGTTTGCTTGTTAGCCAATCTGAAAAAAATATTAGAGAGTTAAGCCTCGTCAGAGAGTTAAACCTTCTTACATTTATTGATAGTACCAATATGTTCTATAAAAGTTCTTCTATACTGTTCTATAATCACATATAAATGAATATGCATATATTAATATACATGGCAAAAGTATAAACACATACACACATCCCCACTTTGTGGTTGGTTCTATTTATTGTTATATTTGTGATAAAGGAAAGTTTTATACAATTTTAAAATATATATTAATTATGTGATATTTTATCACACCAACACCCTTCATTTAGCCCTAGTTCTAGAGGAACATATATTCAATGCTCATTATTAGTTCTTATGTAGAAACTCTGGCAATCATTTTTCAGTTGATCTGAATTTTTTTCATTTATAATTCCTTAGGAATGAGAACAATATTCTCTGAGTTCTATGTGTTCATGACTTTGTAACTTTTAACCTTGAAGGTCATTTTGGCTGGAGGTAAAAACCTTGCTTGCATTTTTCTTTTATTGAGTATCTTAAATATATTACATGCCCTCCCAGCACAAAACTTTCTTGTTGCAAAGTCTGCACTCAATATTATTTTCTTTCCATTATAAATGATTTGTCTTTCTGTCTACATAACTAAATGTCCCTTCCCCACTTTATTATCAAAGTTGCAATAGTTATATTAGAATATTCTTTGGTGTTAATGATAAGGGGGTAAATTTTTTTCAGGTGTGTTCATTGCCATTTCAGTAAATAGATTTGTCTTCTTTTAGTTCAGGAAATTTTCTTGTATGATAGTTTTTAGTATTTCTCCTATTCCATAGGTTTACTTTTGTTCTTTGTGAACTACTTTTGTAGTTGTTTTGGATTGTTATTGCCTTGCTTCTCCCAAACTTTCTCTCAAATGTTTATCTGTATTTCTGTTTGATGTTTTTCTATTGTTCTCCTTTCCAATCTCTTGGTAGGTACCTATTTCTAAAATGTTTAAAAAAAAATTCTCTCCAGTGAAGTTGGGTGCCTTTGTATATCCCTATGTTGTCTAGTCATCTAATTTCTTAGCCCTTCCACCTGTGACGTTTTCTTTCAGCATCCCATTTGTAATTTGTTAAGCCTCATAATGAAACATAATAGTTTTCATCTGTTTTATGGAATTATATACCTGCTGTGCTTTTGTTGTCTGTTCTCTTATTCTCTTTTACTTATATTTTTCTATGGGGTTCAATTATCATCTTTTCAGTTGTTCATGTTTAAGGGTGATGAATTTTCTTATAGTTTTGGAAGGAGTTTCCAAGGTAGGAGGTGGGGTGGGACAAAATAATTTCCTTAGCATTGCAGCCATAGGGTTCCTTCCCCCAAGTCTTCTGGGATGTATTAAATAATATGGCTCTCAATGTACACACTCCTTTGGTACATTATGGCATCTGCTTTCTGTGGTTCTCTCTCTATTCCAGCCCTAAATTAGGGATACTTTCCTCTAGAGAGTATCTGTGCTTGCTTCTGCTTGGAGTTAGAAGATGCTACTGCCCACCCACTTTAGTCTACTCTGAGGGTTCTTCATTTATCTGTAGGTCTCAGTGTGAGCTGTCCAACCCTGCAACAGGGTCCAGAGCTTCATCTCTGATCCCAGAGCTAACAATGTCATCTACTTCTAGGATTTGCATTTTCTTACCGCTCACTCTCATGTTTCAGCTGTTTCTTTTATTTTTTTCTTCCTGTCATTAATCTTTCCTTTTTTTGGTTATTAAAGAGTTTTCTCACTTTCAGTTTTTGAGTCAATTATTGGACTAAAACTATTTTTGCTTTCATTTTAGTTCTGCTTTACCAAGAGTGCTTTTCAGAGATATAATCTTCTATACTACAGAAATGGAATAATCTTGTGATTTTTTACAAAAAGTATATATGGTCACTTAAATTTCCTTGAGATTTTGTAGAAGCATTTACCATAACTATTCTCTGATCCCCGTGAGAAGCTTATTAGAAGTATATATTCTACCTGCCTTTTGCTGGTGATATTTATTTCTTCTTCTAAAAAATTAATATTTATATATAGATCGTATATTAGTTCCTTTTTTATTCTGTGATATTTGAATAGCTATTTGCTCAAGAATAATAGAATGAAGGACTGGGTAACAACCACCTTTACAGTTAAAAATGTGTCTCAACCCCACATTCCATTAAGGCACTTGGGTCCATATCTTTGAGGACAGACCAGTGTTTAGTGTCCCTCCTTTGGGTAGAGCAAGTTGCTAGGAGAACTCACATTAAATGAGGTTTTCTGGTCTTAGCTTCTTTCTGTGGTAATTTAGTCACCAAGTCAAAAAGAATTCTGATACAATAAGTACCCAAACATATTTGCCAAATGAATGCATAAGCAAATATTCAACTTCTTAAGGGACATAGCCATTTGCCTGTGTCTTAGGCACATCATAATCACTGTGACCAACACTGAGGTGATTATCTTTTCCACATATCCTGTTCTCCACATCTTCTTGACTATTTCTTACCTACTCTATGATCTTCATTCTTACTGTGTAATCAATTATGCTATTTTCCATTGCCTAGATGATAAAATTCCAACTCCTTAGCCTAAACACAGCAGGAACTTCTGTGATATTTTGTACAGCCTAGCAAAGTGGAAACTATGTTGTAAAACCACAATTATTAAAAGCCTTGTCATACCCATGCTCCACATTTGGGAGAGAGAGCTAAGGGACACTAAGAAATAGTTGCTTTTTCTTGTACTGTGCCACAGAGGCAGGGATGTGCTTACTGAATTTAGTGTGGACAAACAGAACTACTCTTGAAAGGGGAAGAAGAAGTTTAGTGGTTCTTGCTTGCATTTCAAAATCATAACCTGGATGAGACAGCAAAAGACCAGAGCTACGTTTTTAGTACAAGTAAAAGAAACCTTAAGACATTTTATGGATTTTATGGACTGATTTTTTTAACCCTCCCTCCTGCCCCAATTTATATGTAAAAGCTCTAACCTCCAGTGTCACTATATTTGGAGATACGACCTTTAAGAATGTTAATTAAGTTTAAATGAGATCATAAGTGTGGAGCCCTGATCCACTATGACTGGTTTCCTTATAAGAAAAGGAAGAGACACCAGGGATGCACCCACACAGGGGAAAAGCCCATGGTAAGAAGGCTGCTGTCGGCAAGCTGTCTCTCACCCAGGGCCACTGTCTGCGTAGAGTTTGCATGTTCTCCCTGGCCTGTGTGGGTTTTCTCTGGGTATTCTGGCTTCCTCCCACATCCCAGAGATGTGCACATTAGGTTAATCAGCATGTCCATATCGTCCCAGGATGAGTGTGTGAGAGAGAGAAAGAGAGAGAGAGAGAGAAAGAGTGTGTGTGTGGACCCTATGCTGGAATGATGTCCTTTCTAGGATGGGTTCCTGCCTTGAGCCCTGAGCTGATGGCATAGGCTCTAGCCACCAAGACCCTGAAAATAAATGAATGAATAAATACAGATTATTGTGAAATAAAAATTTGTAAAGTATATGATAATTACGCAGATACAAGACAATGCAATACAAAGGAACCGAGTGAGGTCACCATATTTGTGATTGTTTTTGAACCGTGTGGTGACAGGAGGTACTCATGTTTGCTTTACAAACATTTATTGCTGGATTTGACCCACCACCACGAACACTGCTGTCACTCACTGATTCACCCAAAGTTGGGGCAATAATATTTTGTTTTTATTAATCTTTCTGAAGTATACATGTAGCTCACGTTTATTTCAATGTTTAATACTAGAAGTGTTTTGGTCTTTAGAAGTTTGATGATGTTTCTACAACCTAAAGTACAGCATAGGAACTTAACTCTTGTTTATATCAAGTAGCGTAAGGTAAAATTGGTTTCGTTATATGTTTTTTGGCTTAAAGTCACAGTTTCCAAGAACTTATCAATGACATTAAGTAAGGATTTACTTCATGCTCAAATTTATAATTTTAAATTTTATAACTTGAGATAATAAATTATATAGATAGCCCGAATCTACAACTGCCTGACTAGCTGATACAAGAGACTGGTGAGTACTGTTTTTTGCGAAAACTTCTTAGCATAACCAGATACAAGTTTATAGGAACAAACATCCCTAAAGGAACTCATTACGGAAAATCAAAAAATTATCAATAACTCACAGGAAACAGTTATTGGAGATACACAACATATGGATGGTAAGAACAACAAATATGATTTAACACATCATATTAACAAAGTTAGTCCAACCTAATTTACCTGGGAAAACCTTGTCAATAAATGTTTTAAAATCTTCTATTATATTCCCAACTGTATCAGTCCTGAACTTGACGTTCAGAATGTAAATGTTGCCAAACTTGTTCTTGAGGCATTGAGGGCTACCCAGGTACACAAACTTTCCCTGTACCATAATGGCCAGCCTGGTACAGAGGACGTCACATTCCTCCATACTAGAAAAACAAGATATCAGAATGATACAAGGCTAAAAATATTTTTGAGAATATTCTGCAATTCAAACACCCAATATTTTGTGACTGTCTTTGAAAATGGGAAGATGCATTTGCCCATCATTAAGACCATGGGAAACAGAGATATTTTCAAATTCACAGAGAACCAAATCCTCAAATAGGAAGTTCCTGAACTTCCTACCTTTTTTCTATTCTTGGTAGTTTAACTCAATGAGGATTCTTGGCCATTCCAATCATTAGGATTAATAAAGAACTCATATACTCAGGAAAATATACTGTCCAATATTGCTGGCCCCAAATAATTCCCACCTATGGCCACTACAACTCCTGCCAACCCTCAACCAAACTTCCCAATGAGCCACACCTGTGGGAGCTTATGATGATGGCTTTGCCACTTTTACGTGCCTGTGTCACTGCATTCCAGAGCAGGCGCCGGCCTATTGGGTCCATGCCAGTTGATGGCTCATCCAAGATGACAACTGAGGGATTTCCCATTAGGGCAATAGCAGCACACAGCCTACGTTTGCTTCCTTTACTTCATGGTCAAAGAAGGAGAGAGAAAGTGCAATAAGTATATATGGCTATACAGTTAATTTAAGATATAATACATCTATTTAATACACATCTGTTATTTACAGGGAACAATTTGCCAAGGTCTCCAAAATGCTGAGTCACAGGAAACAGTAATGACATTAAAAATGCTAATTATGTGTGACTCTACAAGGACACAAGACCCAAATCCAGATATATAATTCAATTCATTTTCAATTGAAATGTAGAAAGATGACTTTTGTTTATATAATTGATTTTAGCCATATTATCAGTGAAATTTATATTCTTATTCTTGGAGTCTCTTAGAATTTCCAGATATATATACAATACATGGCAGTCAGGCCAATATAATGAACCTCACATCTGTCCTTATTTGATACAAAGAACCACAGGGACACAAGGGAGAGAAGTTCTCTTCTACAATTCAAATAGAATCAGGATGTGAGTTTCCATCTCTGTAGAGAGAAGATGTAATACCACCTAGGTCTGCTTTATTACTAGCTTGTAAAACCTGGCAGGGAATTAGATTATTTCACTGTCTGTCAGGTTAAGATGTAAGCATTCATTCCAAAGAGCAGAAAAACATAGAGGCTCCACAATATTAGCTGCAAGGAGAACACCAGTATAATTATCTCACCTGTAAGTGTAGATAATCTTATCAGCATGGGCTTGCAGATTCATCATTTTCAACAAATTGTTCACATAAAAGTTAATCACGGTCTCAGAAATCCCCCGCAACCTGGCATACATGATCATTATTTCCTGGGCGGTCATGTAATTTAGCAAGGCATCAAACTGTGGACAATAGCCCATTTTTGACCTTACCTAAAATAAGAATATAGTAACAGACATTAGTCAACTATCCCAGTGAACATACAGTAGATATAGGTGACAGAGAAGACCTAAAGTTCTCCAGCTGATGCTTCTAAAAAGGTTTGATCCCCCACAGAGTTCTTGCAAAGGATTTCTTATCCTCCAGAGGTTAGAGAAATGCTTCATCTGAAGGCAATTACCATGTATTAGAACTCCATGTATGCATAAGGTATGTGTCCAAGATAGATTTGTAGAAAATGAAGCTATCTCCCTATTATAGGGCAATAGTCAATCTATGAAATAAATGAAAAATAATTTAAAAATTAAAGCAGTGCATCCATTTACAGAAGTATATTTACCCAAAGAAGGGGACCGAATAGGAAGAAGTTAGTCTACTATTGACTTAAGCTTTATTCCTTTTAAGACTAAAGAAAGCTCTGATGATTCTAAAAAAGTAAAAGAGATATAAATTGGTAGTGTGGTATCCAGTGCCAATAACTGGACGAATATTTTGAAGCTTGTAACCTTATTTTCTCTAATAAGCCTGTATAGTTCAGTCCCAAAGGACACCAGGGTATCAAAATCAAAGACTATCATACATGGAGAGGCTGGATAGCAATACCTATGTTAAGTTCAATCACATCCTACTTCTTGGTAGTGATGATAGATGGATGGGCTATAAGTGGGGTCCCCCATCTCTCTATTATGTACAATATGGCTTAATGAGCATCATCTAAGATGCAGGTAGTGGAGGTGGGATCCTAGCTTACATTTTGTGAGGACAGCATTCTCCTGATACCAAAGCCAGACAAGAGCACTACAGGAAAATAAAATTACAGGCCAATATCCTGATGAACATAGATGTAAAAATCATGAACAAAATACTAACAACCTGAATTCAAAACCACATTAAAAGGATCATTTGCCATGATCAAGTGGGATTTATCCCTGGGATTTATCCAAGGATGGTGCAACACATGCAAATAATAAATGTTATACAACACATGGACAGAATAAAGCACAAAAACACATTATCATCTCAATAGATGCAGAAAAAGCATTTGACAAAATTCAACATTCAAGATAAAAAGCTATCAGCAAATTAGATATAGAAGGAATGTACATCAACACAATAAAGGCCATATATGAAAACCCTACAGCTAACTCATACTCAATGGTGAAAAGTTGAAAGCTTTTCATCTAAGATCAGGAACAAGGATGACCATTCTTATAATTTCTATGAAACAGAGTACTGGAAGTCACTGCCAAAGCAATTAAGAGAAAGAAATGAAAGGCATCCAAATCAGAAAGGAAGAAGTTAAATTGTCTCTCTTTGCAGAAAACATGACATTTCATATAGAAAACACTAAAGACTCCACTCGAAACTATTAGAACCAATGAATTAATTCCACATTGTTGCAGGATACAAAATCAACGTATAAAGATCACTAACATTTCTATACAATAACAATGAATATGAAAAAGAAATTTTAAAAATTCCATTTACAATAGATATAAAAAATTAAAATACTTAAGAATAAATTTGACCAGGGAGGTGAAAGATCTATACAATGAAAAGTACAAAACATTGATGGAAGAAATCGAGACCACATAGATAAATGGAAAGATGTCTCTTGAGTTCATGGATTAAAACAATTAGTACTGTTAAAATGTCCATACTACCCAAAGCAATTTACAGATTTGATGCAATCCCTATGAAAATCCCAATGACATTTTTCACAGAAATAGAAAAAAAATCTATAATTTGTATGGAACCACAAAAAACCCTAAATAGCCACAGCAATTTCAAGTAAAAAGAACTAAACAGGAAGCATCACATTACCTTATTTTAAAATCTACTACATAGCTACACTAATAAAAACAGCATAGTACTGGAATAAAGAAAGATACATAGAACAATGGAACAGAATAGAGAACCAAGAAATAAATCTGTGTACTTATGATCACTTGATTTTTGACAAAGACACCATAAACAATCAGGAAAGGAAAGTCTCTTCAATAAACAGCTCTAGAAAAACTGGCTATCTACATGCATAGGAATGAAATGAGACCCTCATCTCACACCATATACAAAAATTAACTAAAAATAAAGACTTAAATGTAAAACCTGAAACTATAGAACTCCTAAAAGAAAACCTGGGTGAAATCTTCAAGACAGTCTTGGCAATAATTTTTTAGATATGACCCCCAAAGCACAGGAAACAAAAGCAAAAATAGACAAGTGTGTTTACATCCAACTTGTACATTCTTTCCTCTGCTACACAAACAACTTGTACATCCAATTTGTACATTCTTTCCTTTACTCCACAAAGGAAAGAATCAACAGAATGAAGATATAACCTCTAGAATGGGAGAAAACATTGGCAAATCATACATCTGATAAGGCATTAATGTCCAAAATACATGGAATGTAAACTCTTCAATAGTAAAAAAACAAATAACCTGATTTTAAAAATGGGCAAATGATCTGAGTAAACATTTCTCAAAAGCAGACATACAAATGACCGATAGGTATATGAAAAATATTTAACATCACTAATCATTAGGAAAATGCAAATTAAAGCCACAATTAAAATCACACATCTGTTAGAATAGCTATGAAAAAGACAAAAGATAACAAGTTGTTGGTAATGATATGGAGTAAGGGGAACCCATGTACAATGTTGGGGGAATGTAAATTAGTACAGCCATCATGAAAAACAGGATGAAGTTTCCATGAAAAATTAGAAATAGAAACTACCATATGACTGAGCAATCCCAAAGGAAATAAATCAGTTTCTCAAAGAGATGTCTGCACTACCATTTTTATTGAAGCACTAGTCACAATAGCAAAGATATGGAATCAACCTGTGTCCATCAACTTATAAATGAATAACAAAAATAGAAAATGCGATATGTATACACATAAACATATACACATATTATATAAATAAATACACACAATGGAATACTATTTAGCCTTACAAAAGAAGGAGACGTTTTCGCTTGCAATAATACAGGTGGACCTAGAGGACAGTATGCTAAATGAAATAATAGCCAGTCACAGAAAGACAAATACTGCATGGTCTTACTTATATTTGGACTCTAAAAGAGTCACAGTCATAGGAGCAGAAAGTAGAACGGTAGTTACCAGCAGAAGCTATTGGTCAAAGGATACAAAATTTAGTTAGGAAGGAGGAATAATTTCAAGATATCTATTGTACAATATGGTGACTATAGTTAATAACAAGTGTATTATATACTTGAAAATTGCTTAGAGAATATTTTCAGTGTTCTCCCAACAAAAAATGACAAGTATATGAGGTAATGCATTTGTTCATCAGCTTGATTTACCTAAAGCTTTCTCATTTTTCCCTCTTCCCCTTAAGCGGGACAGGATGGCTACAGTTGGCTGGTGTTGGGCATTTTTCCCCCCAGGTCATTTAGGCTATGGTAAACTCTCATCCGGTTAGATTCCAGCTAAATAATTCCTCCTAAAGGCATACTTGTTAAGAAGAACAGAATAGTTCAAAATGGTTCCTTTACCTGTCCTGCAGGTGGTATGAGAATATTTTTCTCTGATAATCTCTGTGAGAACCTGTAGAGCTCCAGGACGTAAAACTCACAGAAGTATGGGAGCTCCAAAATGACTGAGTCCCCGTGGATTTTTAACACTTGTTTGCACCAAGCATCTAGCAATTCATCAATCACAGTTTAGGTTTTCCTACCCAGATACTGCTTTCCTCTGAAATTTCTGCTTACAATTTTTCAATCTCTCCAATTTGGAGACAGTGGTTTGCGCTGTGACTTCACGTTATCTTATGGATCTAAAAAGGGTTGTTTTTGAGTTTGTTCAGGTTTTTACTTGTTATTAGGATGGAGTGATGACTTCCAAGCTTCTTAAATACTGGCCCAGAAACTGCAAGTCTAATTCATTTTTAGTAGCCCCAGCATCTTATCTGGCATATTTTAGAAGCATGGTTGAGAAAACTTGCCTTTCACTCCAATAGTTTCAAAGAACACAAAATATATTCTTGACTTAGATTCTTAGAGTATAGCTGCTTTTATCGCCTTATCACTTTTCCTTAACAATTTATTTCTCTGTCTAGATTTCACTGGCTGAATTGACAGTATCAGTATCAATGCCTACAGCATGATTCCTATCTATGATCTCCACTACTTGCCTCTTTCCCTCCACCCCCAAGTCATCATGCTTCTCACATCTCAGGCAGTAATAGTGTCCTACCTTTAGCATATTTTTAGTGACGCTACAGCCATCAGTGAACACATCCCCTGATGTAGCAGTCTCCTCTCCGGTCAAAATTTGGAAGGTAGTAGTTTTTCCAGCTCCATTTAATCCAAGCAATCCAAAGCACTCCTCCCTTTGGATTGCAAGGGAGATATTTCTTACAGCCACAATGGCTGGAACTGTAAAATATATCTTAAAAAATAAAGAAAACACAATAAACATATACAATATATGTATATAGTAAAGAATACTAATAGGTAAATACAATCAATACCTCAAACTCCTATGGACCACACTACCTCAGAGAGTTTCACAAGAACTCTCCCAATCTACTGGGAGAATACTCATAGATCCCAAAGAACCACAATAAGCCCTTGGCATCAATGGCATGCTCTTAGGAGGAATGAAGCTGGCATATGTTAGCCATTAAATAATGTTACCTTTGTGAGTTCATTAATAAGCACTGGGGAATTCAGCAACTCCCGAGGTTGCTCCAGGACTCTCTCTCTTTCATTTTGTACATCTTCATTTTCAGATACTCCACGTAATTTCAGGGATAATTTATCCTACATTTTCAAGATAAGAATCACAGAGGCAGATGACCTTTAGACATTGGGTGGCTTCAGGAAGGGCAAACTGGGGAATAATTTCAAAGATGTCCAAACAGAAGGTTTGAATCACCTCCAAGAGACTTTGTGCATATGACCTCAGCTCTCATATACAAACCTATTCCCCATTTCCAAAGTTTAGAAACTAGGCTCCTAGCCATAAGCAAACGGCATGTTTTTATTAAAATAGATACCACAAAAACTGCAATCATGACAAATACCATTAATAATGATAAAATATTATTTGTTAATAATAAAGTATATTCTAAGCAAAACCAGTAGAGTTAAGAGTAGACAAAAGATTAACTCATTCTTTCTGAAAGAAAGACAGAAAACCACAGACAACTTCATGTAGAAAATATCTGAGCTGAAATAAAAAAAATAAATAGAAGTCCATCAGGAGGGACACAGAAGCAACATGGCAAACCAGAGATACCACCAGCCAAAGCATCTCAGTAAGAAGGAGAAGTTTTAGAAGAAAGAGAGAGAGAAAAAAACAAAACAAAACAAAAAAAACCAGATAGGCAAACAGATTAGATGAGGGTCTAAAGGAAGGGTGTCAAAACCTATAGGAGACTCCATGAGAAAAGGTTGCAGAGCATAACTGGAAGGAAAAAGGCATTGGTGGAGATCATCCCTGAGAGGCTTGGAGACCAGCAAAAAGGGTAGGTGGAGAAGTTAGTTTATCCCTTCCTCACATCTGGAATTGATGGTGGGCTCCTAAGCTCCTGGAGAGACCTTCTGCACACATGAGCCCAAAATCTGCTGTCAGTGAGCTGGGAGCTTCTTGTGGACAGGGTGCCATGCTCCCAGCCCCAACAGAGCATCTCCCATCCTACAGACCAGAGACAGAGGGCAGGTGCCATACTGCTTCTCTACCCATCATGCGCCTTTGTCCTCCCCAGGGTGCTTCAACTTCTCAGGTTTCATCTTACTTATCCCCACACAAACATTTCTCAACTCTAGCCCAGACTGCAGGAGCCACAGGGGTCCCATGTGCTCTGCATGACTCCAGAGCCTAGTCATTCTGGGCAGACTGCCTCCTGGATAGAGGGTTGGAGACAACCAGAGTGAAAATTTTCTTCCACCCAGACTCTTTTGCTCCTCTTCCCTTCCCCATCCCCCACCTACAGCTGCCAAGAGAGACAATTGAGCTGCCACTATTGGCTCAGAGATTAAACTAGGTGTGTCACTATCTCAAAAAAAGAAAATCCAAAGGTAAGAAGTAACAGCTGCTCCAGATGAGAAGGAATCAGCAAAAGAACTCTGGAAGTATGAAGAAACAGAGTGAAAGGTCATGACCAAAAGGAAACACCAGCGACATGTCTAGCAAGGGATACCAACCAAATCAGAATATTGAAATGACAGATGAAAAAATTTGAACATGAATTATAAGGAAACTCAGTGAAATGCAGACAAAATGGAAACCTAACACAAAGAAACCACAAAAACAATGCAGGATATGAATGAAAAATTCACTAAAGAAATTGAATTACTAAAGAAAAATCCAAAAATGGAACTTCTAGAAATGAAAAATTCATTCAAAGAAATACAAAATACAGCAGAAAGGCTTAAGAATAGGTCAGAGCAGGCAGAAGAAAGAATCTTAGAACTTGAGGACAACAACTCTGAATTAAATAAATCAGTCACAGAGATAGAACAGAGAAATAAGAGGAATGAGTAAAGCCTACAAGACATATGGGATTATGTCAAGAGGTCGAATATAAGAATCATAGACATCCCTGAGGGTGAAGAAGAAAATACACAAGGGTTGGAAACCTATTTGAGGAAATAACTGAGGAAAATTTCCCTAGTCTTGCTAGAAATCTATATATCCAGGTTCAAGAAGCTCAAAGGACTCCTGGAAGATTCATCACAAAGAAGAAAACACCATGACACATATACATCAGACAGACAAAATAAACATGAAAGAGGCTCTCCTATGAGTCAGAAGGCAAAAGTATCAGGTAACTTACAAAGGAAAACCCATCAGACTAACTGCAGACTTCTCAACTAAGACCTTACAAGCCAGAAGGGATTGGGGCTCCATTTTCAGCCTTCTCAAAGAGAACAATTACCAGCCTAGAAATTTTGTATCCTGCAAAGCTAATCTTCTTATATGAGGGAGTGACCTGCCCTGCAGGAAGTACTCAGAAGCACATTATACACAGATCAGCACAAAAGACACCCACCAGTGTAAAATCAAGCAATGGCTAAAGGTCAAAGCCCAAATACCACAATGGCTCAAGAGGTAAAACAAAGCAATAAAAAATATAATGTCTGGACAGATAGAGGTCACAATGTTTAGAAAACACAAAGCTTAGATTATGATAAAGATCTCAGAATCATAAATCCTAGTCAACATGGATTAATTTGTTTTATTATATCTAGTAATAGAGTTAGACATGTGTAGAGACATGCTTTTGGTTTTAGAGTTGTCTTTAAGGCCCATGCTTAGCTACTCACCTTATTAAATTTCTTGTAGATTCCAAAGAAAATATAGCGAAACACAAACATTTTCACTCTCCATAAGTTGGTCTCCTGAAGAAGAATCAACAGGATGAAAATAAGTCCTTCAGCAGCCATTGCAATTACATGCCGTCCAATCGCATATTCTTGGAGACTATATATATTACATTCAGTTACTGATGAAAAGAACAACAACAAAAGGTATAAGTTTACTTAAGAAAAAAGAAGCACAATAAAAAAACTTTAAGAAATAAACAGAGGAAGTATATAACATCAAATTGAATGGTTATCACATAAGCAGAAAATTAAGATGTTTACTGGTAAGTTCAATAACTTTGTATGCCATGCAAAATATCTTCAACATCCTTTAAGAGAGACAAAAAACTTTTTTATTCCATAATTTTTGTCTTGCTATGGCTCAAAGCATTCATAACCACATGTACCATATAGTCAGAACCATTGGGTGAATTATTGCTTTCACTAGTACTGGGTAGGATTAAGGCCCCTCCCTATCCCCAAATATTCTTTCCTTTGAAAATTCTACAGATAGTGGTTCTGAAAAATGTCTAGTGGCAGCAAAATAATCACTTGAAAATACATTACATATGCAAACATTCGTGGAAGAGAACACACTAACATTTAAACCAAGTTGAAAGTATCTAAGGGCTGGCACTTTTCCAAACACTTATGAAAAAAATTAATAATTACAAAGTTCTGAATTCCTGATAGGAAAAACAGTAGGGTCAATAGAGATGTGAAGATGGCTAACTCTCCATTATTACTTTTAAAATACTTTTTATTAAATATACATATACAAATGCATCAACAGGAAATACTTCATGAATTTTTATACATTAAAAATATCCATGTAATTTTTTGGTTCTGTTTTAAAATTTAACTAATTTTATCTGCAGGGTTTTTTTTTTGTTTTTGTTTTGTTTGTTTGTTTTTGTATTATCACCTGTGTAGCTTTTATAGTGGTTGCTCTAGTGGTCTCTCTCAAAGCCTCCCATTCATCCTAATTTGGTTCCTGGAGGTTTCTTAACCATTTTATACTGTACCTATATAACTTCTCACAGTATAATGCTGTCATCATTTATCAGTTTGAGTGTAGAAACCTTTCCACACTTTGTATCTCTTTACACTCTGTTTATAAGTGTCTTAAATATTTTTCCTCCATGTACATTGAGAACAATGTCTATAATTTTTTGTTTTAACCATCAAACTTAAGAAAATCAAAGAAGTATGTTGTACTCTTCCATATGTTTACTTTTTCCTTTGTTTTTTCTTCCTTCCTGATATTCCAAAATTCTTTATCATTTCCTTTGTTTATAGAACTTCTGTTAGCCATTATTTTAGGGTATCTACTTATGACAAATTCTTGTAGTCTTCTTTTATCTAAGGAAATATCTTGATTTCCCCTTTATTCCTGAAGGATAATTTCTATGGATATAGAATTTTGGGTTGACAGGTTTTTTTCTTTCAGCACTTGTGTCGCTTCCTTCTGGTCTTCCTAATTTCTAATGAGAAATCTTCCCTAAGTAGGGGAATTGTTAATATATATATATATATGTATATATATATATATATGTTGGAAATTATTACTGTACATATATGTATGGAAAGTGTCATTTCTTTGTACCCACTTTCCAGATGTTTTTGCCTTTGGTTTTAAGAAGTGCCATTGTGGGTTTTTTGTTTTTTTCTTGACATGTATTTCTTTGGTTTTAACCTGTTTAGGATTTACAGGTTTCTTGAACCTGTAGGTTTATATCTTTTATTTGGGAGAATTTCAGTCATTTCTTCTTAGAATACTTTTTCAGTCTGATTATCTTTCACCTCTTTTCTGAGACTACAATGACACAAATGTTAGATCTGTCATTATGATGCCATAGCTCCCTGAGATCATGTTCAATTTTTTCTAGTCTATTTTCTCTGTTAAGATCAGTTGCTGTATCTTCCAGTTCACTGATTTTTCTTTCTTTCTTTTTTTTGGTCTTACCTCTCCATTATGCTAAGCCCACCTATGTTGATTTTTGTATTTTTCATTTCTAAACCTTCCACTTGGTTCTTCTTTCATTTCTTTGCTAACTTCTGTTTTTTTGTGTGTTTGAAGCATATTCATAATTTTCTATATTTTCAGCATTTTTATAATGGCTGCTTTAAAATTCTTATTGGATAGTTCTAACATTTCTGTCATCTTGGCATTGACATCTATGATTTTATTATGATAAATGACTTTTAATCAAATGCTAGACATTTAGGGTATTGTGTTATGAGACTCTGGATCTTTAAAATTTTCAGTTTTAATAGGCCATCTGTGATGCTATGCTGATAAAAGAAGGATAGCAACTTTATTACTATGTGATGGGGGCGGAAGTCCAGATTCCCCCTGTACTTCAGTGGGTGGTGATACAAATTGTGCTTTCCACCAGGTCTCTGATGATATTACCCTAACCTGGAGGGACAAGGGTGCTTTGTTACTGTTCCCACACGGCTTACACTAACAATGCAGGGCATGACCTCATTACCACTAGGTGTTGGTCAAAATCCTGCCTGTCCTCCAGGCCTCCTGTGACATGACCCAAATAAGAAGGGGTGATAGACCTACTACTATGGGCTGAAAGTGGAAGTCAAGTTTTCCCACTTGGCCTTTTCTAGAAAGGGTAGGACTGGGGACATGGTTTTATTTGTAGTGTTTGGTTAGAGTAGAATGGTTATTGCCTAAAAGTTTTGTTTCGCTAGGCTGCCCTATTCCCGGACCTTTGGCCACAGAAGCTTTTCTTAGGGCTTTGCTATCTGTGCCCATTGGCATTTTCAGTTTGCCAGCTTCTCCAGCACCCAGGCCAAGATATGTAAGACAAAAAGAAAACCCAGGGAACTCATTAATCTATATGCTGTTTGTAGTTTCCTAAAACATTTTTATTTTATTTTTTCAACATTTTATTTAAAAATTTCAGACATATAATAATTTGAAAGAATAGCACAATTTAAAATCTTCACTTAGATTCAAGAGATACTAACATTTTTCCACATTTTCTCTTTCCTTCTTCATCCCATTTCATGGTATATAAATTATACTTCGATAAAGCTGTTTAAAAATGACCCAAACAGAGGCTTGACAAGTACTTGCATAATTGGGCCTTTTCCTTTTTAGCTTTTGAGGAACTGTCAAACTCTTTTCCACAGCAGATACAACATTTTACATCCCAACCAACAATGTACAAGAGTGCTAATTTCTCCACACATGCTAGCATATATGTGTTGTTTTCATTGTTTTTGTTATAGCCTATATATCGTGGTAGTGTGAAATGGTATTTAATAGTGATTTTTATCTTAATTTTCCTAATGACTAACAATGCTGATGATCTTTTCATGCGCCTCTTGGTCATTTGTATATCTTCTTTGGAGAAAGGTTCATTCAAGTCCTTTGCTCAGTTTTAAATTCATTTATTTGTCCTTTTTATTGTTGACTTGTAAGAGTTCTTTATATAGTCTTAATATTAAACCCAGATCAGATATGTAATTTACAAATTTTCTCCCATTCTATAAGTTGTCTTTTTTTTTTTTTTTTTTTTTTTGAGACAGAGTCTCGCTTTGTTGCCCAGGCTAGAGTGAGTGCCGTGGCGTCAGCCTAGCTCACAGCAACCTCAAACTCCTGGGCTCAAGGGATCCTCCTGCCTCAGCCTCCCAAGTAGCTGGGACTACAGGCATGTGCCACCATGCCCGGCTAATTTTTTGTATATATTAGTTGGCCAATTAATTTCTTTCTATTTATAGTAGAGACGGGGTCTCGCTCTTGCTCAGGCTGGTTTCGAACTCCTGACCTCGAGCAATCCGCCCGCCTCGGCCTCCCAGAGAGCTAGGATTACAGGCGTGAGCCACCGCGCCCGGCCTATAAGTTGTCTTTTCACTTTCTTGATAATGTCCATTGAAACTAAGTTTGTATTTTAAGTTCAATTCATCTATTGTATCTTTTGATGCTTGTGGTTTCGATGTTATAGCTTAGAATCCATTTCCAAATCCAAGGTCATGAAGATTTATCTCTGTTTTCTCCTAAGAATTTTATGATTTTAGCTCTTATGATTAGTGTTTGTTTGATCCACTTTCAGTTAATTTTTGTGGACAGTATTAAGAGCTTCATTCTTTTGCATGTAGAAATTCAGTTCTCCTGGCAACATTTGTTGAAGAGAGTGTTCTTGTGTTCTTTTACCATTGAACGGACTTGGTTACCTTGTCAATAATCATTTTCCCATATACGTATGTTTCTTTCTGGACTCTCAATTCTGTTCCATTGGTCTATATGTCTATTCTTATGACAGTACCACAATGTTTTGACTGGGACAAAATGTTAGACTGGGATAAAATATTTGCAAATCACATATCAGACAAAGGACAGCTATGCATAATATATAAAAAATACTTTAAACTCAAAGTAAGAAAAAGACCAATTTAAAAATGGACAAAAGACTTGACTAGGCATCTCATCAAAAGATGACATATGCATGGCAAATAAACACATGAAAATCTACTGAGAAGTTTCAATATAAATGTGTGTTAATTTTTTTTTAATGCTCTTCGGCCTCTATTGAGATCATATACACAGTAGAATATAGATACTTACCATAGAGATTCTTCCCCATAGAGAAAATGTATCATGTACATAACCTTTGAATCTTAGCTTTATCTTGTACAAGTTGTGTGATACAGAACAAATTATTTACATTTGTAGAAGCTTTAATTTTTTTTAAAAGTGAGGATAACAACATAAAACTTGATGAGTTATTCTAAGGATTCACAATAATGTAGGTAGAACTATTCACATGTGACAAGTAATAGACACCAATACTCTGATAAGCCTTGGAGAGCTCCAGATACTCACCTGCTATGGTACAATCTATGTATTTAGGACCATGTTCCCAGGAGAAAGACAACACCTTTCTCATTTTCATATCATAATATTTAGTAATGCACATCCCAAAGTTATATATAGGTAACAGCAGGAATGAATTATGTATGGAGTTTTTAAAATGTTCATATGAATCTAAAACTGAAAAGATAATATCATCATGCTTTAGATGAAATGAACTATCTCAAGTAAACAAAATGTCCCCAAGTTGATCAAATGAAACTGAGAAAATTACAAAGCCAAACTATTATCCTCACAAAACTCTCTTTTCTTGCCACCAAGTATACTACCCATGAAACATAGTCTTGAAAACATAGTTTGTGTTGATAATTACAGCTTTGGAGTAACTGCTCTCTCCACAAAACACATCTAACCCACAATGACTCATTCAGACTGAAGGCAAAGGTATAGAAAACAATATTCCATGGAAATTGAAACCAAAAGAAAGTTGGTGTAGCAGTTCTCATATCAGATAACATAGTCTTCAGATCAACTAAAGTAATGAAAGGCAAAGACGGTCATTATATAATGGTAAATGGAAAAATTCAACAAGAAGACATTACAATTCTAAATATTTACATACCCAACACAGGTGCACCCAGATCCATAAAGTAAATCCTACTTGACCAGGTTTCTAACTAGCCTCCCTCTGGGAGCTGATGGGGCAGATAAACAACAGACAAGGAACAAAAATACTTAAAGATCTTGTGGAAAAATCGGCCAGGCATGGTGGCCCATTCCTATAATCCTAGCACTTTGGGAGGCCAAAGCAGGAGGATTGCTGGAGGCCAGGAGTTCAAGATCAGCCTGAGCAAGACCAAGAGCCCATCTCTATAAAAAATAGAAAAATTAGCCTGGCAAGGTGGTGCATGCCTGTAGTCCCAGCTACTCAGGAGGCTGAGGCAAGAGGATGGCTTGAGCCCAGGAGTTTGAAGTTGCAGTGAACTATGATGATGCCACTGCACTCTAACCTGGGGTACAGAGCAAGACCCTGTCTCAAAAAATGTGAGAAAATTGTAAAATGCATGGAAACAGAGAGTAGAACAGTAGTTACCAGGGGTGGGGATGGGGGAGGAAATGAGAAGTTGAATGGTACAAAGTTACAAGTATGTAGGATGAATAAGTCTAGATATATAATGTTCAGCATAAGTATTATAGATAATATTGTATATTGAAAATCTGTTAAGAGAGTAGGTTTTAGGTCCTCTTACTACAGGAAGGACCATATATGATAGGTGCCATATATGTACATATATATATATCAATTTGCTTGACTATGGTAATCATTTCACTATATGCATATCAAAACATCATATGGTATACCTTAAACGTATATAACAACAAATAAGTGATATTTTATAGTAGTGAACTCTCTCCTGGATCACTTAGTTTTTTAAAATTTTTTATTTTTAATTGACACATAATAATTGTGCATATTTATGGAATACAATGTGATTTCAATACATGTAGACATCATGCAATGATCAAATCTGGGTAATTGAGATATCCACCACCTCAAACATTTGCCATTTCTTTGTGATAGGAACATTCAAAATCCTCTCTCGTAGCTATTTTGAGATATACAATACCTTATTGTATTAAGTATAGTCATCCTACAGTACAATACAAAACCAAAACTTATTCTTCCTTTCTAATTATAACTTAGAACCAGTTGACCAGCCTCTCCCCATCCTTCTTCCTCCGTAGCCTCCCAGTCACTGGTCACTATCATTCTATTCACTACATATATGAGATCAACTTTCTTAGATTCCACATATAAGTGAGAGCATGTGCTACTTTTCTTCCTGTGTATGGTTTATTTCACTTAATATTCTCCACGTTCATCCATGCTATTGCAAATGACAGGATTTTGTTCTTTTTATGACTGAATAGTATTCCACTGTGTATATATACCACATTTTCTTCATCAATTCATCAATTGTTGGATGCTTAGGTTGATTCCACTTCTTGGTTACTGTGATTAGTGCTACCATAAGCATGAAAGTGCAGATATCTCTTTGACATACTGATTTTATTTCCTTTGGATATAAACCCAATAGTGGGATTTCTGGATCATATGGTAGTTCTATTTATAATTTTTTGAGGCACCTCCATACTATTTTCCACAATGAATGTACTAATTTATATTCCTACCAATAGGAATTGTGCACAAGTATTCTTATTCCACATGGTCATCAACACTTGTGGAACAACAAAAGACCCGGAATAGCCAAAGCCATCCTGAGGAAAAAGAAGAAAACTGGAGGAATCACATAACCTGACTTCAAATTACATTACAGAGTTACAGTAACCAAATCAGCAGGGTGCCATAGTAGGAGAATGGACAATGTCATCAAGACTGCCACAGGGAAGGGAGGCAGGGAAGGACATGTAAAAATGCCACAAATCTTTTCTATGGTTTTAAGTTGCTTTTTCTTTGATTCACCATTCACTTGGCTGATGAAAACTTTTGACAATTTTCCAGAGTTCAGACAAAGTTAGTTCTAACAGTTTCTGTTTGTCTTCTTGGTGTTTCTGTGGGGAAATGATGAACTGCCTACTCTGCTATTTTGCTGATACCACTCTCGACATTGTTTTTATCTTTATTAACTTCTAAAGCTCCTCCATGTATCTTAATCATTTAATTTTCACAAATTTGTGAATGTGTAGTAGTATTCTCATGTTCTAGATGAGGATACTCTAGTTGGCGATATCAGGAGTCATGTCCAGTATCTAAGAACTAGGAGTGCTTTAGCCAGGGTAAGCCTTTTATCTACTGGTCTTTGGCCTCTTCAAACACTCTCAAAGCAAATGAAGATTTTAAAAAGCAACATTGAACCCAACAGAGAGATCCTGGCAAAATACTCTTATTGCTTTTATGTACCTACATTATTTCTGTAGAGATTATAAAATTAAACAAATAAAGCCTCTAGAAAATGCTTCCATAATGCCATCTAGATTTCCAGATGACTCTTGTATTCTAACATACATTTATGGAGAGCTCTGTGAACTTTAATGGGAAGAAATGCTCTTATTTCTGTTCAAAGGCCTCTCATTTTGAGCAAATATATAAAAAGGCTGTGAACATCATGATACCAGATTTATTGTGACTGAAGATTATTTTGTGTTTTTGGATCTCTTTAAATTGTGTCTATAGCTCTCCTCTCTGAGAATACTGTTTAGCAAGCTCTTGCTGTTTGAAAAACTACTAGCAATATTAAGTAATAGTGCTGTTCTTCTTAATAACAGTGAACGGAGATCATCTCAAATCAATCATCCTCAAATTACTTCTTAGAGAACACATAATTCCTAGAGGAAGTCAGACTTATGATATATATACATAATGTATATGTATATTCCATAACTGTTTTATGTGACATGTAACATGTAGGCATGCTGAGTAAGAGCTCTTTTTAGACATTCCATGAGAACATTTCAGTCAGTTTCCAATCTTTCAGAGGATCTTAGAACCTAGGCCTGCTTTGATTAGGACATAGACCAGTGTGAGTGAGAGGTGAGGGTATCCTGTAGCCCAATTACACTGGAGACTACCCTTTTAGGTGAAGTATCATAAGAATGGAAGAACAAAAACCACATGTACTCACATTAAATTGAAACTTACAGATTAACACTCATGTGCACATATGGTAGTAAAATTCAATGGAAATGAAGCAGGTAGGAGGGGGAAGGAGTGGATGGTAATTTCACACCTAATTGGTACAATGCACGCTATCTGGATGATGGACATACTTAAAACTTTGACTCAAACTGTACAAAAGCAATTAATGTAACCCAAACATTTATACCCCTGTACTATTCTGAAATAAAAAATAAAAGAAAAAAACCTCATAAAACCATATATAAAAAGACTGAAATATTTATTAAGATTGATTTTCTACCACAATAGAAATAAAAAATAAATCACAAAAATAAAGTCTTTAAATATTTGATAAGCTACATATCTAACTAACCCATGAATTAAAGCAGAAATTACGAGAGAAATTAGAAAACACTTCTACCTGAATGATAAGGAAAATACAGCATATCAAAATTTGTGGGATGCAACTAGAACAGTACTTAGAAGGAATTTTGTAGTTTTTAATGCTTGTATATTCCAAAGAAGAAGGCTTAAAATGATGTAATATTTGACCTCACACAGAATTAGTAGATCAAATTAAACCCAAAGTAAATGGAAAGAAGAAAAACAAATATAAAAAAGGAATCCATAAAAATAGGAAACAAAAAATAGAGAATATTAACAAAGCAAAAGGTGGCTCCTTGAAAAGATTAATAAAATTGGTAAAAATCCTAGCAAGATGTGGGGGGAGGAGAGAATATGAGAAAATGTAATGATATTAGAAATGAACAAGCAGATATCTATACTTGTCTTACAGACTTTAAGGATCATAAGGGAATATTATGAACAATTTTATGCCTATAGAGTTAGATATTTAGATGAAATGCAAATGTTCTTTGAAAAAGACAACTTATCAAAAGTGTTAGAAGGAGGCATAAGAAATCTTAATAGTCCTAGGCCTTGAAGAAATGAAATTTAGAATTAACAACAAAACTTCACATAAAGAAAATTCCAGGGCTTGAGGCTTTTGCAGGGGAGTTCTATCAAATAAATAAGGAAAAAATAATGTTACACAAAATTATGATATAAGGCCTATAATACTAAGGAACTGAAACCCACATGTCAAACTTCTGACCTGCAGCACTGTGAGATAATAGATTTGTGCTGCTTAAACTGCTAAATTTGTGATAATTTGTTATAGTAGCAATAGGAACTAATACAGAGACTATTACAGTGATTAATGTGATTAATTCATGGAATGAGTACCAAAGTTTAACTCCTTCTACATATTTTCAGTCTACTGTTATAATCAGAGATCAATTCTTTTTCAATTCTTATGGCTTCATATTCCCCCTTGAAAAGGTGTGCAAGGAGTTTTAAAGTAGGTCTTCAGCTAACTGAAGGAATTCTATTGTGTGGGAGGCCAAGACCTAATGGCAGAGAAGGGCTAGAAGTCTATTCCTCTCAGCCTCTGCAAGATCAAGCATGACTGAATTACTTAACGCAAGTGAGCTTAACATTTAGAGGGTGATTTAATAAAGGAGTAGCAACAGTCTGTATTTTAAAACATTCCTATTGTGTTTTTGCTGCCAGTCCAGTCAATCTCTCCTTGAATCTTATGATCAAAGGAGGGAAATGAAAAGATAAATATTGTACAAATATTAGGCAAACAAGACCTTAAGGGGATTGATTTAATAATAATGTTAGTGGCACAGCAGTCAACATAACACCACACTATCAATGGCACTTAATAAAAGGTTGTTAACTTACAACTATCATAAGTTGTTGCTGTTTTCCAGAAACCCAGAACAAAACAACCTTGTAAGGTTTATATCTTCTAACCATTTTTTATGTATCTATTCAAAAGAATCCCCTGGCAATGGGAAATTTTGTAAAGCCCTTACTCACCCTTTATATCATGTAGTACGGAATCTGTAATCATACAAAAAAGCCCTACAGATTGGTTGATCACGAAGATCTTGATGAAGGCAATGGTACTACTAGAAAACAGGAAACTTATTAGGTATATTAAGGGAATAACAGACCAGCCAAATAGCATGAAGATGAACAATGTGTCCATAAAGTGGTAATCCTGGATAAATACATCCAATCCGGTGAATATGAACACCACCTGAGACACAGAGAGCAAAAAAAAAGCAAAGTCAAAGTGAAAAAAACTATGCAACACCTGAGAACTCAACATCTGAAAACTTAAAGAAAAATATTTTGTTGATGAACATGACCATTAGTTACTTTTAATTCTTCCTTCCCAGTAAGCAGAATCACTCCACTTGCCTATTTGTTGTTTTTTTTCTACTTGGAATGGTTTTATTTTGTTACAAAAGATACTGAATGGGCACTTCGGTCCCAAATGACCCAATACCCATAGATACATGAGTGGATTAATAAAATGGACATGTATAACATGGAGTATTACTCAGCCATAAAAAATGGTGATCTAGTATCTTTTGTAACAACCTGGATGAAGTGGAGCCCATTCTTCTCAGTGAATTGTCACAAGAATGGAAAGATAAGCACCATATGTACTCAATACTAAATTTGAACTAATTGATCAACTCTTATGTGCACATATGGAAGTAAAACTCAATGGAAATCAAGTAGGGGGAGGGGGAAGGAGGGGATGAGTAAATTCACACCTAACGGGCACAATGCACACATTCCGAGTGAAGGGTACACTCATAACTTTGACTCAAACTATACAAAAGCAAATTATGTAGCCAAAATGTGTGTATCCCTGTAATATTCTGAAATTTAAAAGAAGACAAAAAAAAAGTTGGCAAAGAGGTAGAGAAAAGGGGACTCTTATATACTGTCGTTCAGAATGTAAATTAGTACAGCCATTATGGAAAATATTATGGAAGTTTCTCAAAAGACTAAATGATTCAGCAATTCGACTACTAGGTATTTATCCAATAGAAAGGAAATAAATAGCCAATATATGGACTTTGCCTAAGTGTCCATTAATGAATGAAAAGATAAGCAAATGTGGTATATATGTATAATTGAATATTCTTCAACCATAAAAGATGAAATCCTACCATTTGCAGTAACCTGGATGGTAGCAGAGATCATTATGTTAACAAAATAAGCAAGGCACAGAAAGACAAATATCACGTGTTCTCACTTATATGTGGAAGCTACAAAAGTTGATCTCATGGAGGTAGAGAATAGAGTGTTAGTTACCAGAGGCTGGGAAGGGTGGGTGGCATGAAGAGAATTTAGTTAATGGGTACAAACATACAGTTAGATAGAAGGAATAAGTTCTAGTGTTGACTGAACTTTGACTGACTACAGTGAATAATAATTTATTGTATATTTCAAAATAACTGTAAGAGAAGATTTGAAATGTTCCCAACACAAAAAAGATAACTTTTTGAAGTGATATCCTAAATATCTTAATTTGATCATGACACAGTGGATGCATGTATTGAAATATCACATGTACTCCATAAGTATGTATAATTATTATATGTAACAAAGTTAAATATATATGCTATATATGTATGTATATATGTGTATATGTATATACGTTTTTTACTGCTACATATATATGCAGAAAAAGCATCAAGGTTAGGCTTGCCTCAAAAGTGAGTTGAAAATTTTTTCTTTAATTTTCTGGAAATGTTTGTGTATAATTAGTATCATTTGTCCCGTAAGTATTACAAAAGTAGAATTTGCAAAAGTAGCTATCTTATCTTAGAATTTTCTTTTTGAGAAGTTTGTAATTATAATTTAGTATCATGAAAAAATTAGTAGGAATATTTGTTCATATTTTCTATTTGAGGGTTTATTTTTCCAATTTTTCACACATCTTAATTTCTAAGTATATGTTGGGATATCTAGGTAAATTTTTGTCATTATTTTATGAACAATCAAATTGTGTTTAAAAGAAATGCTTTGTGTGATTTCCATTATTAAAATGTGGTATGATATAAAACTCATCAGGTCTTAAAAGGAAAGGTTAGAGAGAATCCTAAGGAAGTTTCCCTCATGGTGCTGGCTAGGGGAGGGAAACAGCAGCTTCTGACAAAACTGAGAATTATAGTGACCAAAACACAACTTCTACTCAGCATAATTTCTTATTGGATTAGGGATATCAGCCACTACTTTATTACCTAGCAAAAGAATGGCTTAAGCATCTCTGGAAGACAAAAACATTAATATTACCAAGAAACTGTATAATAGTTTAATTTCAATGTCTGGTACTTAATAAAAAACCAGAAGACATGTCAAAAGACCACATGGCCAAAAATTAAGAGAAACATAAACTCACTACTGGCATGAAAGATATACCCACCCAGAAGTGATCCAGATATAAGTTTACTCATAAGAATACTAAAATGACCATGTTGAATATAGTTATTAGTATTTAGATATCTAATATAGTTAAATAGAAAGGTAAAGAGCATATGTTTACAAATGAAGAATTTCACAATAAAATTTATATTATGGGAAATAATTAACTGGAAATTTTATATCTAAAGAATACAAATCTAAAATTAAGAATTCATCAGATGGGTTTAACAGTAGACACAGCATAAGGCAGGGTTTATAAATTAGAAAAGCGGTCAATAGAAAATATACAAAGAAATACAAAAAAAACCTGAAAAATAAAATAATATTGGAGACTGTGACAGAGTGAAAGGAAACAATATACATGTAAATTGAGTCAAAGAACATGAGATGAAGGAAAATGAGACAGATGAAACGAAGAAGGAATAGACAAAATATTTACAAAGCTGGTAACAGATACCAACGTTCATATTTGGGAAGCTCCGAATACACCAAATAGGGTAAATACAAAGAAATCTAAGCACAATATAATAAGAATGTTGAAAATCTTAGTTAACAGGAGAATATTAAAAGAAAATAAAAAGATATAAAACTTTCCAAAGAATAATAAAAAGACTGACTATAGTTTCTCGGTAGAAATAATGGAAGCCATGAGACAGTGGAATGACATCACTAAAGTGCAGGGGAAAATACCCATAAAATTATTCTTCAAAAAAAAAAAAAAAGAAAATAAATTTCCACACAAACAAAATTTACAAGATTTTATTTTTGCCACAAAATGTTATCTAAAAGAAAAGTCACAGGAACTTCTTTAGGCAGAAGTATAATGATCCAAGATAAAATTTCTCAGAAAAATGAAAAGCAATGGAAAAGACTATGTAAATATTGGCTTTAAAAAAACAATCATAGCTTATGAAAAATAAATATGTGAAATTAAAATGCTTGATCACAGTAATGTGAAACATGGAGGGCAGTAATAGGAATAATAAGGTTCTAAGGTCTTAGCACTATGAGGGAAGTTGAAAAAGCTACTTGTACTGATAGTAATTAATCAAAAATGCATGCTAATATTTAGGATAGTCACAAAAATACGCTTAATACATACTTAATAGGGAGCAGAAAAATGGAGAAAGAGGAACATAAAACAGGTCATTCAAATAAAAAAGTAATAAGATGATAATATAACCCTATATATAGAAGTACTTCTTTAATTGTAAAGCTAAGATTGTCAGCCTGGAAAACAAAACTAATGTTAACTATACTACCTACAAGAGACACTTTAAATATGATGACCCAGAAAACTGAATGTAAAGAAATGGAAAAATAAACATCAAGAACACAGTAATCAAAGAAAATTAGAGTGGCTATACTATTACCAGAAAAAAATATATTTTAAGGCTAGAGGCATCAGCAGATATAAAAGGGGAAATGATACTGTAATAAAAAGGTCACTTCATCAGGAAAATAAAATTCTAAATATGTATGTGCCCATGAATATATACATGGTACAAAGCAAACTATACAAAGCAAAATTTCAAATTATATTGACACCGTACAGAATAGAAAAATAATCAAGTAGGCAAAATATCAGTAATAAGAGATTTGAACAGCATGATGAACAAAAATAACTTAATGACTTTTATAAAACAATGTTGCCAATAACATCAGGATACATGTCTGTATCAAATGCATGTAGAATATTTACTAAAACTGACCACATGCTAGATTATAAAATGTGACTCAATGTATTTCAAATGACTGAAATCATTCACATTATGTTCTCTGAGGAAAGCTAGGAATACATTTTCAAATTGCTTAGAAAGCAAATCATATATTTCTAGGAACTCCCAAGGTTCAAAGATATTTTAGAAATTAGGTTTGGAAATGAGTAATAATGAATAAATGACACATAAAACCTGTAGGATGCAAAAAGCTTTAGGGTATGTTTGTTTGTTTTTTTTAACCAAATGAGCCCAGTGCTGCACTATGAGTACATAGGGGTGGAAGGTGAGGAGCTGATGTTTGTGGAGAATAGACAAGTGAGATCATGCAGTCCGAGACAATGCCTGCCCTAGCTTACTGCAGCCAGTTCCTGTGATGATAGAAATTATTAGTGACCCTCCTAAGGTTAGCAGTTTATCCCTGCCCTGCTAAGGGCAAGCTGGGTAGGCTGAGAGAAGAGAATAGCATTGAGCTCCTTGTCTACAGTGGTGCATATTACAACAGAGAAAAAGAACATCCTGTTGCTCTCTATACCCTGGAGCTCTCTGTATACAAGAGTCGCTTCTGACACCATTTCCAGTGTCTAGTCCCTTCTATCTGTTCTACTTTGTAGGAGTCTAGCTCTTCCTCAAAAGCAAAAGTTCCAACCACCCAACCCTACAGCCTCATGGTCAAGCATCATAAGTTTTCTAATGGCCATGGGGGCCAGGACAACCGGCTTCTAGGCCTTACATCCCATTAGAGAGAAATGAATGTGTTTGGTTTAACTTTAATGCTGGTGTTTGACTTACCTTTTCCAAGGGATAGGGGTGTGGTTGTGAGAAGACAACAGATGTGGAAAAAGAGAAGAAAATAATAAGTGTAAACAAGCCAAAAAAATGTCTCCTGACTTTGCTTACTCAAGAGAACTTATTCAACATTTACTCAATATCTCTTCAATAATCTATTATCTTCATTCCAAAAAAAAAATTATACACACACACAAGGACACAATTTGAATGGCCCATAGCACAAAATTTTAAAATCTCTTGAGGGCAATTGTAAAAACTCAGTATGAGTATCTCTTGTGTAACAAGGAATCACAGCAAATAACAAAGTGCGGAAATAATAGGAGAAAGAAAAAAATTGTAAAATATCTTTTCTTTGTTTAGTATGGGATTGGTCATCTATTAAGACAGGCTAGATCCTTCTATATTTACGACAGCTTTGGGGCCAGTACATATTGGTGAGAAAGCACGTCAGAAGCTAGCTCAAGAGATATATTTCTGTTTCAGCAGATGTGAATATTTTATTTAAAAGAAGAAATGTACAGGAGAAAATTTTCACTATAAGGCCTATTACACAATGTATTCTGTGGCATAATGAGCCAATGTATTTTCATCTTTCTCGAGAGATTTAGATTTAGGTTAAGTAGAAATATTTTGGGGTGCACAGGAGACTAAGCCCCCAAGCCACTTTGTCTAACACTCACCAGTAGTAAGCAGCAGGCAACAAAGTAGATGAGGAAATCCCACAACAGAGCTGAGAGCCAGAAATTCACAGCATAGACTCCACTCACAAACTCAATGTGTTTTACTTTACTGATTCTCTCAATCACCATCAGGAAGCAAAAGCCACTGACTAAAATACTTACTCCAGGAAACAAGTTTAGGGCTATAGTGAATCCTGATGGTTTTCTATAAAAGAATGAATAAAGGGGACATACTGGTAAAAAACAAAATGTGAAACACTAGTTGCTAACAATATTTTTATATTAAGAACATGTTCAGATGGGAAAGAAGAGATGTATTTATAGCATAAAACTCAGAGTAAAAAAAAAATCATACATACCGTTCATCATTTGTAACATTAGTAATAAATTGAGGCTGAGGTTTGTTGGAGACTGTAATGGAAGCATCAGGGCCAGAAAGGGACATAAAGATAATATTGTCTAATACTGCCAGGGATAATGATGGTGAATGGTATGCCTCGTTGTTGAACCAAAAGGTAAATGTCTTTTTGTCTCTAGTAACCTCAATGGAAAGTGCAATAATGCATGAGTAAATGCATTCTTGATTTTCCACCAAGTATTCCTCCAGGTCACCTGGAATAAAGAAACAATAATGATCATGAACTTGGCATGCAATACGGCTCACTTACTCTATATTTTACAGAGGGGGAACTCGGTAATTTTACTTGCCTGATACATTTTCCCTTTCTGATGTCTCATAGTGGTTCTGACATAACTTTTCACCTCAAGAACTCTATTCTATCACCAATCCACACAAACCTCACACCTTTCAGCAGTTTCACTGAGAAAATATAGTCCACCAAGTATTAATTCCCTCAAATTTCCTTTCACCTCTCAAAACTTGCAGTCTTAAAATTTATTCGTAAAGACTTCCACTTCCACCTCTGACAGATTAGTTTACAGAAAACCAAACCTTGCTAGGAAAAACTATAAAGGCTGAATAAAATGAAAAAAAAAAACAAACCATAAAATAAACCTGTTTAAAGGAATCATAAAATTTCCAAGGCAACTAGATTTGGAAGAACAAAAATCTGAGAGAAAAAGAAGACCCAAAGAATTAAGTTTAATAATCTATACTACTTTTATCCTTCATATGGTTGTAGAAACTTAAGCAGAACAGGTCAAGAGGGTGAGAAGTATAGCAGAAAGGTGAGTAGAAAACTACAGTTGAGAGCTTCCAGAAGCTGCACGAAGCTGAGGAGACAAAAATAGGTCCATTTAAATAGCCACAACGTAAAAATTCAAGATACAGAGAGAAAAACTCATAGAAGTAAAGTCTTATACTCTGTTTTGGTAAACTATGACCTGAGGCCTTTGATTTGGGGCTCATGAGGTAGAAATTTATTTTTACATTTTTAACTGGTGAAAAGCAGGAGGAGGGGGAGACAAAGAAGAAGGAGATGATGATGATGATGACAATGACAGACTGTATATGGCCTGCCAAGTCTAAAATATTTACTGTGTGACTCATCACACAGGAGACTCATCACAGGAGACTTTTCCTGATTCCTGCTTTAAGAGTTGAAAAGAAAAAATGAAGACTTTGCTCTACACTGCTTTTCCATGCAAATCATCTCCTAAGAGGCACAGGTGAAAGTTTAACAAGCAGAGCAAAAAGTAAGAGGAGAAAGAGGGAAAGGGGAATGTTTATTCAAAGAAATAATGATATTTCCAAATCTGGGGAAGGAAACAGACATCCAAATTCAAGAAGCCCAAGGGCTCCAAATAGGTAGAACGTAAAGATCTACACTAAGACACATTATAGTCAAGTTGTCAAAAGTAAAAGACAGAAGTTTGAAAGTAGCCAGAGCAAAAAAAATGACTCATCACACATAAGGGAGCTTTCATAAGACTATCAGTGGATTTCTCAGCAGAAATCTTGCAAGCCAGGCCATGTATATCATAAATATATATGATATTTTTGAGATCATATATGAGATTATAAATCACATAAATAGAAAGGTAAATATAATGTATGGACAAATACAGAGAAATGTAACATGGGTGGTGTAACAAGGGTGGTGTGTAAATTACTTTTAACCCTAACATAGAAGTTATAGACAAAAAACATTAAGAATAACTATACCCATGCTAGAATCAGTGGCATATGCCTGTAGTCACAGCTACTCAGGAGGCTGGGGCAGGAGGATCACCTGAGCCCAGCAGTTCAAGTCTGGCCTGAGCAACACAGCAAGACCACATCAATTCTTAAAAAAAATATATATCTTCTCAGACCTTTTCTGGGCATGTGTCTTCCTTGGGCTTGTACTTTGTTACCTCCCCAATTCCCTGGTATTATACAACTGCTCTAAATGTCTGAATTTCCCTAAGAGCCTCACCCTTGTTCCTTATTAAGGTCTTAGATCTTCTGCTGTTCTGATGCTCTTAATCTTTTGCTCCCAAGTACTTATGTATCTGCAGTTTGCCTTGCAGTTTTCATGCACCTCAGCAATGACTGCTACCTTCAGTGACCTTCAACCTAATGTCCAAACTATGTTTCTCTTCCCATTTGAGCTCTGAGTCAAGTGAGACTTAACCCAGTCCCTCAGGAATCCCCCAGACAGTCCAGGATTTTTTTTTTAAAGTTCCAATCTTTTCCTTCTGTTCCAATGGAGAAACTAAAAATTGTGCAGTTTCTTCCCAACAGTGTTCCGCCTAAGGAAGGAGGTGGGTCAAGGGTGAGCAAAAAGACTGCAAAATTTCCTACCATTTTGAGTGTGGCTTTTTCTTGATTGGGCATCCACTTGATTGCTGAAGACCCTTGACTGACCTCTGGGGCTCCCACAAAGCTATTTTAGTCAGTCTGTTGTTGTTTATTTTACTTAATACTTTTATGGAGGCATGAGGGACTGGATCTTCCTAGTCCACCATCTTTCTAGGAGAACTGCCTGAGTAACAGTTAATGAAGACAATTGCAAAATGCCCAAGGGAAGAACAAAGAGGAAGATTTAATTGGATAATCTTATTATGATTGATGTATCTTTAAAGCACAATCTTTTAATTTTTATATGAGCAATATAATGTAGCAGAAAAGGAACCATATTATGAATCAGGGAAATTCATTTTCTCTCTCTTTTCTTCCATCTTCTCTTCTAAACAACTGTGATATTTAATTAATAAGGGTTTAACTAGTTGCTCCTTTGATGAAGGAGAGAAATCTGATTTGTTTGTTAACAGGTTTTATGTCACCCAACCAATCATGTGTATGTTGTAAAATTAGGATAATGGCATAAATAATATCCAACATTTTAAAGTGCAAATTCATCTCTCACAATGTAAACCAAAGGATAAAAACAACCTGCCAAACTACACAGTTACTACCTAAAGTAACACTATCAACCAGGCAGTACCTGAAGGAAGTATAAGTAAAGTACCTAGAAGGAAATGATCAATCTTGAAAGAAGACAGATTTGCTTCTTTCAGATGTGATTTAGTGTAGCATAAGATTAAGATGACAGACTCCAGTCAGGCAGCCTTTAAATCTAGTCCCTGCTCAAAAATATTCTGGATGCATAATTTGGGGAACCTTACTTAACATATTCAAACTTTAATATCCCCAACTTTAGCAAATATGTTTCTTTTAGAAATTAAGTGAGTAATTCAGGTAAAGTATTTAGACAAATACTTTACAAAGTATTTAGACAAAGCATGTGTTCAATACATGCGATGAACTGTTATTACTACCTTCAAAATAAATAATTTCTGAGTAGCCTTCGCACAAAGCCTTAAGTTCAACGTGTTTTAGATATGGTCAGTCTATGAGACTTGTGGGCAGCCTTTAAGGATTTAGGACCATGATACCAAACCATAAGTCTGGGTTTATGTAAAAACTCACTGCTAAATTTTACAAAACGAAATTTTGGTACTTTTACCCATTCCCTAAAAGGTACAGCTAAAGGCTGATAGATGATGCACAAAGTGCCTCCACTAATAATTAACTTTTGTGACCAGTATCCTTTGAGGATGATTCTTGCCTCTGATTTGGCTACCTTTAGGAGAGTGCTTACTATCACAAAAAGAAAGAAATTGGAAAATATTCCAGTTAAAATACTGTCTTTGAAAGTGACACAAGCAGGTCTTGACTAGTAGTCTTCTTTTATTTTTATTTTCTTTTATTTTTATTTCAGCATAATATGGGAGTACAAATGTTAAGGTTACATACATTGCTCTTGCCTTCCCTCCCTCCTCAAGTCAGAGCTTCAAGTGTGTCCATCCCCCTGACAATGCACATCGCACTTATAATGTGTATATATATATATATCCCCTCCTCCCGCCTCCCACCTGCCGGACACCCAATAAATTTTTTTTTTAACATTTTCGTTAGATTTTATAACTTTGTCTTTACCTAGCAAGGGTTAGAGGTATGTCCTTCCCCTCCACACTGTTTGCCACATCCCTCAGACATGGGTCCACCCCCCTACCCCTGAATCCCTGGTGAACACCACCACCCTTTGAGCACCGTATTGATAATCCGTCAGTACCAATTTGATAGCAAGTACATGTGTAGCCCATTTTTTCTGATCTTGTGTCACCTCATTTTGGATAATGGGCTTTAACCACTTCGGTCCAGTGCTCACCAGCCGCTGAACCTTGCCCACAGCCAGCACTCACAGTCCGCAGGATAGTTTGTGCTGTGCATTGACCAAGAATCCGTTTTGCTCTTGTGTGATAGGAAAAGCTTTAAAGCACTGAAAGCTTGTTTTACTTTACAGGAAGCTTTACTTGTAATGTAAATCAGAATTGGTAACATATACATATATGTTTTCATTATGTTATTTTTAAATGTTCACAATTATTTTGATAAATGAAAAATTAGAAAAGTCATATCATGGCGGTCGCTAAAGTGGCTGTGCACGTTCATCTGTGGCTATCAACTATAGCCCACGCTCATACCCAAGTGGTTAAGCTCAATCCAGGATAATATAAGCAGTGAAAGCTCGCTGTCATTTCTTAGAATTGAGTAATATTCTATTGTAAACATATACCAAATTTAATAATCCAGTCATGAATTGACAGACACTTGGTTGTTTCCACATCCTTGCTATAGAATTGTGCTGCCATGAAACATTCGGTGCAGATGTCTTTATAATAGAATGTCTTATGCTCTTTGGGAGTGCCTAATAATGCTATTGCTGGTCGAATGGATATTTCATTTTTTAGCTCTTTGAGGTATCTCCAAATTCTTTTCCACAAAGCTTGCACTAATTTGCAGTCCCACCAGCAGTGTAAGAGTGTTCCTGTCTCTCCACATCCTCACCAGCGTTTGTTGTTTTGGGATTTCTTGATATGGACCATTCTCACTGGGGGTTAGGTGGTATCTCATTGTGGTTTTGATTTGCATTTCTCTAATGATTAGAGATGTTGAGCATTTTTTTTATATGTTTTCAGGTCATTATTCTGTCTTCTTTAGAAAAGTTTCTGTTCATTTCCATTGCCCATTTCTTGATGGGATTGTTTGATTTTTTCTTGTTAATTGTTTTGAGCTCTAAATAGATTCTTGTTATCAGACCTTTATCGGAAGTGTAGAGAGCAAATATTTTCTCCCATTCTGTAGGTTGTAATATTTGCTCTAA